CATATCTCAAGTTGTTTATAATTTTCCTGTTTATAACAATGCTCTCCTCTGCCTCTTCCAAGGCCTCCGACATTATTTCTTCTGAATGTAGATTGAAAAGCAATAGCGAAAGGATAACCTTGTCGAACTCCTCTTCGAATTTTAAATTTTAAAGTTAGAAAGTGTGTTATTTATTTTAATATTATCTTGCTGATGCCAATACAAATTTGTTATGAATTGTAGATCTTTTCCATCTATACCAATTTTTCGCAAAACTTCAAGCAGTCTTTCATGTCTTACCATGTCAAAAGCGTTCTTGAAATCGATGAAGTATAAATAAACCTTTTGGTTGATATTTCGGCATCGTTGAACAAGTATTTAGATGCTAAATAAAGCCTCTCTAGTTTCATGACCATTACGGAAGCCAAATTGTTCTTGACTCATATATTTTTTCGCTTTTTTGTAGATTCTGGTGTGAATAATTTTTAAAAATATTTTTAGTGTATGGCTTATAAGACTAAATTATTCTATATTCATTACACTTCTTTGCATTTGCCTTTTTGGGTATTGCGACAACTGTGGAGTGTAGCCAATCATTTGGTATGTAGCCTGTATCGTAGATAGCATTAAACAACTCTGTTAAGCGCGTTATGCAGATGTCTTCAGTAATTCTGTTGGTAATTCATCTGGGCCCTTTGGTTTCCTGTTTTTGAGTTGCTTATGGCTTTCTGCACTTCAATCACCAATATTGGCGGTCCGCTATCGTTAAATGTTATTTCATGCCTTTCTGGTCGTACATCGTGGAAAGTTCTTTTTTTAAGTATTGTTGCCACCTCTCGAGTTTATCCTCCAAGGTTGTCATTAAATTTCCATTCATATCTGTTAAGATGCTTTCTGGTGCTTTTGATACCATTCTGGCTGCTTCTGTAATCTTTTTATGTACATTGAAGCTATTACCCACTCTCATATAATATATGATAATATACAATATTTTCTATTTCTTTAAATTCATTTGCGAAATGTTCTTCTTTTGCAAGTCGTATTTCTCTTTTTATTTGTCTATGAATTTATTTATATTGTTGGTCATTTACATTTCTATGTTTTCTTCTTTCATTCATTAAGTTCAGAATCTTGTCAGTAATCAATGTTTTTTTCTTGGTGCTTATATTCTGTCCCAATTTACTTTTGGCTATTTCTGTAAAGGACTTTTCAAAGGATTGCCATGTTTTTTCAATATTGACTTCCAATTTTCCGTTTACTGTATTAATTTGTGACCATTCTATTTTATTTTCAATATCTGTCATTAGTTCTTCTTGTATTTTCCCATCTGTCAAGGTTTCTAAGTTAAGTTTAATTTTTCGAGTAGGTTGCTTTATCTTTTTAAGTCTAATCTTGAGTTTCGCTAGTAATAAATTATGATCTGATGGGACATCTGCTCCTGGATATGTTTGAACCGTTTGGATTGCATTCTTATATCAGTTGTTAATTAAAATGTAATCTATTTGATTCCGCACCACATGCATTTTCGTGTCAATAGGAGATTTCCAAGTGTATAATCGTCTTTTGGAGAGTTAAAAACAAGTATTCATTACTGTCAGTTTCTTTTCTATACAAAACTGGAACAGTCTTTCTCCGCGATCATTTCGTACTCCTAACCCAAACTCTCCGACTACGCCTGGAATTTTACCTTCACCAATTTTAGCGTTAAAGTCTCCCATAATTACATTAGTGTCTCTATCTTTAGTAAATTTATGTGCTTTAATAAGGTCTTCGTAGAAATCTTCTATTAATTCCTCGTCACTTTCAGCAGTCGGAGCGTAAGCTGCTATGATATTCACCTTATTTGGAACTGCTTCTAATTGTACTATTAATATTTTATCCAATATCGGTATGAATCCGCTTATGGCTCCGTTCTTCTCCGCTATAATAAACTGTGTGTTCATTTATTTGGCATTTACCCGACTTAGGCCATTTCATTTCATTTATAGTGAGTATAGAGATGTTAAGTTGAATCATCTCGTTAATATATTGTGAATTATTCGGTCTTCAAACATACTTCTAACATTCCATGTGCCCACTCTTCTTACATTGCTGGTATTGTAAGGATTTCGCTAGTTGATGACCGCAGAAGCCCCTCTTCTACTTGCACTGCCGAATCTGGAATTCCGACATACACGTGATTAGTAGTAACGTTTTTATCTATATAACTGTTTGCTAACATGATTTTAACTAGGGAATTTTATGTAGTGGTTTCCCGTTGCCTTCTTCAACGTGATATTACTTCTGAGAAGCAACGTGAATAATCACGCCGAACTATCAATATTTGATTTACGCCGTGACATTCTAGTGAAGTCGTCGCTGTCCAACCACACTCTCTATTTGGTCCACAAGTGTTTATTGGTTATTGACAACTATACTATCTAATATCTAATGGACATTTGTGATGGAATTGAGATTCTCCTGCCTACAAGAATCGTCTTCCTGGAACTTTCCGCCAGTAGGAGCTCGGGGCCCCGGGTTCGCTATACCCATAGTATAAAATACTTCCCCTGAGGGTAAGGAAATTACTACAGAAGTATAAACTTTCAGTGAAATTGATTATTGATTATAATCTTTTCATTATTATAAAATAATAAATAATAATACAAACAGATTATACACAATACATTAATGAGTGAATGAAATTCACTCATATACATATTGAATATACATATTCATTCATATACATATGAATGAATATGTAATATTTACCAATTATTACGATTTAAATTGTATTTTGATTAATTATAATTAATTGAATTTTTATACACTACAAATAATCTACATTAATGAAAAATTATTATATGAATTCGATTTGTAGCTATATATTCATTGAATCTTATGTAAAACCTACTCAATGAATTGGATCAAATTGAATGATAATTAATAATAAATATGTATTATTTCTTTTAACTTTTCAAATCAAAGTTAAATAAAAATAATATTTCATTTATCATTAGCATAAAACCATTATCAGCCAATATGTTCTTTCTGGACAGCTATCTAGCGGAGAATGCTAACATTAAAGTGATTTAGAAGTCGGTTTGAATGACCGCTGCTTTTTCTTCATTAAATCAACCCAAAGCACCTTTATATGACTCTACGAGTTGGAAGTACAGGAACACTAATTTTTATTAAAAAAAAATATATATTACAGGGAATCTATCAATTCAGAATATTATAAGTTTTTTTGAACATAAAAAAGAGGGCATAAGTAATGAATTACATTAGTCTCGTTATACCATTCTACGATAAACTGCCGAATTTTTATTATTACCATTCAATTAACAGTCATGAGTTGACGCGCACTTCTTTTGTGATTATATACGGTAGCTAATTTAATCAACATTATTCTTGAAATTTATATTTATCATATGTAAAGATTTAAAAGCTTATTATATATTTTTATAATTTACTTAATAAACATTTATATGCATTCTGTTATTATTTATATTTTTTTATATTAATTATTTTGTGTAATTTTAATGAAATTAGAATCTTCGAATCCTTACTTTGTTAAATAATTCAAATACTTGAAACTCAATAGATGATTTATATTTTGATAGCTAACAATTACATTGTCAATTTTTCAAAATTTTACTTCAAGTTAATACGTTAAAATAAATTTTCTAAATACTCTAGAAACACATGAATTCTTACCAAGTTACCATTCAATTTACGTATATTCATCATTTTTTTATAATCTTTGCTTGTTAGAACTTTTGCTTTAGATTCTTAGTTTGGTCAATTGAATTCGCTATATATAGATCGTCATCTACGTTTACTTTTAATATTTTAAATTACTCAAATGTTTATTGTATTACATTTTTAATTTTTGATATAATTTTATATTTATATAAAATTATATGTTATATATTAATGTATCTTTTTATATGAAAGATAAATATTAGGTTTAGTAGAAAAGAAATCTATGATGTTTTTGATTTTTTAATATTCAAAATTGAACATGTTATTCAACGAGATATTATTTGAAAATAATTTGCACATTTGAATATTACATTCTTTAATACTTTGATTTTTATTTTTACTCTTATTTAAAATCATTGTAATGCGACGATATTAATAAAAAAAATTTCTTGATAAGCTTCAATTATTGATACTCATAAATCAAACCAATAATATTTTTGGTAGCTTCATAAGCATTATAAATATCTCATTATAACTTTCTCACGTTGTCTCCACCGTAGCATTATTATATTGAAAAAATATAGGGATTTTTTTGGTTATATAATCATCTAAACTAGATATAAACCATATTCCAAGACTCTCGGTGAAATTTCAATACAATTTGATGGGTCACATTAAAGTTTAATTTTTTTCAACTTTTGGGCCCAAAAATCAGTAACATTATGTAACCCCCGAAGGAATGACATGATTCTTATTATAGATATTTTTTAATCAAACAATATTTTCCTTTACAAAAATTAAAAATATTCAATAGTTTCTGAGAAAATTGGTGTCTTATCTTTAATTGATCACTCTTTAATAGTTTTGAGTTTTGACTTACATTATTTTGGCATATGGCAAGTTTTGACTTAAATATTTTATAATAAATTTCACATTAACAAACCGATTATTTATAAAACCAGTTCAAACAATGTAAATTATAAGCCTTTTAACATTCAAACAAATCTTTAAAATTTTTATTTCGATTCATCCCATCACTAGTATTAACCATGTTGAATGGTTTCTGTTAAATTAAGTTACTAATAATTATTCATTAAATAGAATAAAGTTGGCAATAGTAATGTATTTTAAACAGTTTAAATCTTGTATCATGGCTGGTTTGATAAAAAATATGAAATATTACGATTTACTTGTAGATTTATAATTTTAATGCAATTATAGTGTTACCAAGTATCAAGAGGTTTGCAAAATATGTATTCGCTTAATTTTGCGTATGCTTTTATGGCTACACTGTAATAATGTAGTACATGTGGATATTGGTAGGGCAAATAACTGGCGGAGCTCTACAGCGCCGTCGTCGACGATGACACGGTAATCTACGGGGCGCGACCCGGTCTTTTGCTTGTCCGACTAGCACCCCGATCAAACGCCATATTTTTGTGTCGATCATCCTCGTCGTGTGGATTCTGTGCGCAAAATCTCTTAGGGTAAATATTGATAATTTTCTAATATTTTTTTAAGTAAATTTTCCATTTATAATTATTAATTTTTTTTAAATATATCACTGAATAATCAAATTTTATTTGATGATTCCATTTCCTTTATCACATTACTATTACATTTATTTAACTGTTCTAATTTTCAGTATCGAAGTGTGATAACTTTTCATTAAAATGAGCTTATTCAGAACGACCGCAGTAAAATTGTTGGAAATTAACCAGGTAATAAAAATTATTGCTAAAATGTTTATTATTTTATATATTAGTTAAATTTTTCCATTTTACAAAGTTATAAAAATCATATTACTTAGACATAAATTAATTATTCTCGAATAAAATTATTTTAAAATTGTATTTCAATTATAAGTGGAACTATGATTTATATATTTTATGGTGTTTGCTTGTAAAAAGTAGAGGTCACAAAAATTTTATAAAAAATATTTCCTTTCCAAATATTAAACAATTTTATTATTTCACTGTGCTTTTTAAATATTTCAATATTTTGCTTGAAATTATAGATATTTAGTGTAAATACTGTAATTTAATAGTTCTTTTCACATGTAATTTAAATGGTTAAATGGATTCAATTTACTTGTACTGATAGTTGGGATTAATGATGACCTCAACTAACCTTGAGTTTTCTATTTACAACATCTAATAAAATTGGCACATAACAATCTTATTTTTTGTTTATTTAAATTTTTTTGTGTTATTTTCTTAATAAAATTAGAATTGTGATCCTTATTTTAATATAATAGGTCATGATCATTTTAAAATTTTTCAAACTGATAACTATAAGTATTATACTTATCTAAAATATTTGAGTTGTTGTAAGTACCTTAAATGAATAAAATAGTAGGTAATTAAAAATAATTATGCCATGATTTATTTTAAGTATCTATATTTCTTTATTGGTCTATGTTAGTTTAAGTAATTACACTTGTATAATAATAAATAAATTTATTCTAACATGTGATAAGAGATAAATAAATGAGTTATTATATTTTTAATCCATTTCAAGTTAATCCTTTCAATAATTATTCAATTTGTAAAGTGATTGATTTATCATTGAACACTAAATCTCTATTAAAATAATAATATTGAATATATATATATGTTTCGCTTTGTTTTGTAGTATTTATCTTTTACACTTTACAAGTGGTTAAAACCTTTTCTTTTAACTCTTATCCTTTGTTATGTTACAAACTTTATTTTTTTAAATAACAATATAAATATTAAACTAGCTTATGAAATAGTAAATGATCTAATTTAGAACACGACAGAGATTGATATCAACTTTTGGACCAGTATTTCGGGACCACATTTTAAAGTGATGGCAAGAGATGAGATCCTGATGTTGTTATTTTTATCACTTGTCATTTTTCGCATTCTTCCTAATTTCTAGGTACAAAAATGTTAATGATGTACCAGTTAAGTTCTAAACTAGATCATTGTCTATTAAACAAACTAGTTGATTATGTATATGGTTATTTAAAATAAATATTGAGACCCTTATATATAAGGAATATGTAATTTTGTTCAATAATAAGTTGATCGATTCTACAATAAAGTTTTTTATTAATATTAAATTCTATAACAAATACACACATAAACAATAAAGAATCGATAATTTAAAACTTATTACTGTATACTTTTTTAATTATATAAAATAAATATAATTATTAATTATTAAATATGTTACCATAGATTTTACACATTACTTCTATATGATTATACAAATTACAACAGTGATTACAGTGTCCCCATAAGCAATGCGGCCACTGTTATACCTCCCCTCCTCCAGACATAAACTCCAGTTTATGTACTCAAATTTTGTGCTGGAATTAATTTATTACTATGGAAACTTTTTTTTTTCTTTTTTCTTCTATCTCATATATTGAATTTGATATTTGTTTTATTATTTGGAAAGGACCCCTTCTAACTTCATCCAACTTGTTCATATTCATTTTGTTGCCATTTTCTATGTATACTAACTCATTTTCTTTAAATGTATATTCTTTTCTTGTTTTGTCTACTCTTTTTTTTATTTTTTTCAAAATTTTTATTAGAATTTATTATAGCTTGTTCTCTATCTTTTTCTAAATTAAAAGTTTTTTCTTGAAGTTCATTTGGCACTATATAAGAGTTAACACCAAATAATAGATAAGACGGTGAAAATTTTGTTACACTATGTATTTTATTGTTGTATTCCTCTACACATTCCTCCGCTATCTTAGACCATGCTTTTTTTTCTCCACTATTAATTTTACATCTTATTCTGTTTACCAATGTTTGGTTTAGTCTTTCATTTAATCCATTTGATTCTGGTCAATCAACTGATGTAAATATTAATATTATATTCTTTGATTTCATATAATCTGTGATTTCTTTGGATTTAATCCCTGTATATTGATCCGCCAAAACCATTTTTATTTGGTTTTTTTATTAATTTTTTTGAGAAATAGGCAACCGGATGGAGAATACCATTTTCCTGAGGTTGTTTTAATACTGCTCCTATACCTTCTCCACTCGCATCAGTATAAATAAAAACCTCTTTATTTTGGCTGTATATAGATAGAATTGGGCTTGAACATAGGTATTTCTTCATATTATTAAATGCTTGCTGACACTCTATTGTCCAACCAAATTTTACATCTTTCCTTAGTAAATTATGTAACGGTTCCAGTTGTATTGCTGCATTTTGAATATATTTATAGTAAAAATTTATTTTCCCTAGGAATTGTCTAATATTCTTTTTATTTGATGGTTCTTTAAAATCTATAAGGTTATCATTCAAAGGTGTAATTGAATTTTTCTCAATTTTATGTCCCAAATATTTTAAGGAATTTTTTGCAAAATTAATAATATAAATAATAAATAGATATAAGTGATAAAAAAAAGTCTTAAACCACTTATAAATCTTAAATAATAGAGATAAAAATAATGCTTAACAAAGCCAAAAAATATATTTTCAAGATTATAAATATTGTTTGATTTTATATAAGAGTTTCAACATTTTTTTCTACAAAATTAGATATATTTTTAGTCTAGTAAAGTGTTATTTTAATTTTAAATAATGTTACATTGTGATTTGTTGTATCTTAGACAAGTTATTAACATGGTACTCCAATCTTAAGTTACTTACAACCAAATTGCCTTTTTTATACATATGTTCAGTAAATAAGAAAACAACTAAATTGTTACAAACAATGAGAACAATAGAAACCCGTTTCCTTACTCACTGAACACTAACTTACTACTGAAAACTATATATTTATTAAAAGTTCAACATCAAAGGTTATTTTTTGCTCATTATTTTATTACAAGGCCTCAAAACAATAACAACAAAAATAAAATAGGGGCCTTGGGTGTTGCCTATTAGCCTAGTCCTTATTGTAACTCATAATTTATATTTATAAATTATAATTATGAAAGATTAATTCATTATGCTTTTTTTAAACTTGATGTCAGTTAAATATTTACTAAAAATAATATTTATTATTTATTAAAAATATATCTTAATAAAATTTTCGTAATGTTAAAATAGTGATATATTTTTAAATGATTTCATCTCATCTTGTAAATTTTTGGTTAAATATATTTGACTTTCAATAGGTTATTTCTAAATTCTAATCATGTATATTTTAATTTTATATTCTATTATTGAAAATAAATAAGAATTGTTCCATTATACTATTGATACTTCATATTATTGATAATTACTATTATTAATCTATCAATAAAATATATAGCAGAAAAATTAACTTCTTGTTTTAAAAACATATGATATAAGACTTTTTAAATCATAGGTTGCTGCTCCATTATGGACAGCATCACGTAACATGGCTAGTTCATCAACTGATCTCAAAACAATAGTTGCTGAAAAATTGAAACAGAGTGGTGAGGAAATTAAAGCTTTCAGAAAGCAACATGGATCTACTGTTGTTGGTGATGTAACGTTAGACATGGTAAACTATTTTTTTTATCAATTTATTCATTATTATGGGTACTAATATTATTTGTTATCAAGATGTATGGTGGTATGAGAGGTATTAAAGCTTTAGTCACAGAAACTTCAGTATTAGATGCTGATGAAGGTATTCGCTTCCGTGGATATTCTATTCCTGAATGTCAGAAGTTGTTACCAAAAGCACCTGGTGGAAGTGAACCTCTACCAGAAGGTCTATTCTGGTTATTAATTACTGGTGATATCCCTACCCAAGAACAAGTTAAATGGTTGTCTAAAACATGGGCTGAACGAGCTGAATTACCATCACATGTTGTTACTATGCTTAACAATCTTCCAAATTCTGTACATCCAATGACTCAGTTAGCAGCTGCTGTTTCTTTGCTCAACACTGAAAGCAAGTTTGTTCAAGCATATACCAAAGGAGTTCACAAATCACAATTTTGGGAGGTAATTAAATACTTTAAAATTAATAATTAGTATATAGTAAATCAATCCAAAATTTTTAAAGATTATCAAAAAGTTAATTAGTGAATTATTTGTTTTGTATCGCTAAAAATATCTATTAAATTAATATTTATTGCATTTTCAACTTATATTAATACATATATATATAAATACATATATTTACTTATATCAACTTAAACAACTATATAATTTTTTATTATAGTATACCTATGAGGATACCATGGATTTAATCGCTAAATTACCAGTGATAGCAGCTACAATTTATAGAAATGTATACCATGGCGGAAAACAAGTTGGCACTGTAGACACTGAACGAGATTGGAGTGCTAACTTTACATCAATGTTGGGTGCTAATAACTCTGAAGAATTTATTGAACTTATGCGCCTATATTTGACAATTCACTCTGATCATGAAGGTGGTAATGTGTCTGCTCATACAACTCATCTAGTAGGGTCAGCATTATCTGATCCTTATCTATCATTCAGTGCTGGAATGTGTGGTCTTGCTGGTCCATTACACGGACTTGCTAACCAAGAGGTAATAGTCCTAAATAACATTTATTAAATATTATCATTTGATGATGGAATATGTTAAATAGGGCATAATTTCTTATTTAATTTATTGAAACTAATAAGTTAATTAAACGGCTTTCATGATCTATAGAGAACTCGTATCATAATGTATAGGTACATATTGGTAAAAATCAACTACACTGTGTCAAGCAATGTAAATTTCCTATCCTCTACTACAAGAAATTATTTACCAAAATGTACTTTAAAATTAAATATTGTATAATTTCCAAAAAGGAAATGATTTTAATTATGGAGTAATCTTTTAATTGTAAATATGAATAAGTTGAAGTTAATCTTCTTAATATTTTTTTCCTTATAATATCCGTAGAGTTGTTATATACAGATATTATGTACAGATTTACAAGTGTATTAATTTCTTTATATTTTAAATTGTAATTTACACCATGACATTTTTTTGGGGGCATTAAGTGCCATTAGTTTTAATATCACACCAGTGTGATCATTCAAACAAAAAAATGTCAAGATGTCACAATATCTCAACTCAAGTGTTGCTTATTAAAAGTGTTTGATATGTAATATAAACACTGGTGGTTTCATGCAATTAGTGTCTCTCCACTTTACTGCTATCGTTTGAATTAAATTTACTAGCAATTTGTTAAGAAAAATGATATAAGCTATTAATATGATAAAAATTTTCTACTTTATTTATTACTAAATTTTTAAAATTCAAATCAGGTATTAATTTGGCTAGAAAAATTACGCAAGGAAGTTGGTGATTCAGTAACCAATGAACAGCTCAAAGAATTTATTTTGAAAACATTAAAAAGTGGACAAGTAGTACCAGGTTATGGTCATGCTGTATTACGTAAAACTGATCCACGTTACACATGCCAACGTGAATTTGCATTAAAACACTTACCTAATGACCCATTATTTAAACTTGTATCTCAAGTATTTGAAGTTGTACCACCCGTACTTAACGATTTAGGTAAAGTCAAAAACCCATGGCCTAATGTAGATGCTCATTCTGGAGTATTATTGCAGGTATGCTAGTTTTACATTTTCTGTTGTATTAATATATACTAGTTTTAATAAACATATTTATTATTTTTTAGTACTATGGCCTAAAAGAAATGAATTACTATACAGTATTGTTTGGTGTATCTCGTGCTTTAGGAGTATTAGCTTCATTAGTATGGGATCGTGGTCTTGGTCTTCCTATTGAACGCCCAAAATCATTATCTACTGAAAAGCTGAAGGAATTAGTTAGCAAGGCAAAAGCTGCTTAATTAAATGAACTGATGCTTAATTTTTCATTGAAAAACTGTTACCCTATTTTCTTTTTTATTCAATTTGAAAATCCCCGTCCAAATATTCTTTGCCATTAAAATAGACTAAAATCATTCTAATAATTTTATCATATTTTATGGTAAACTAATGTTTTTTTCATTTAAAATAGTACTTATCAAGTAAATTGGGAATCTCTTGAAAATAAATTTTGTATTACTATTTACAAACATAATAGTATTTATTTAAATATCATAATAATTAATAAATAAAAACAATCAAAAATTATTTTCTGATTACTACATGTAAATTTATTTATTAAAAATGTGTAGTAAAATACTTGTAATTTAAAATAAATTGCTAAGTTGTTAATACAGTATAATTATTGTGTATTGGTAAAGAAATTGAGTTTTAGGACATAATGACAATAGAAAATATATTTATTATAAATAGTATATGTTGTAATTTTGTATAAGTATTGTTGATTATTCAAACTTTTGATATAATTATTTAAATGTAGTGATAGTCGATTGTTGATTAGTTACATTTAAATTATAAAATTGCTTAATATTCAAAATTTAGCATATTTTTCATTTATTAACAAATTAAACTTCCTTTAAGAAAAAAGTTAAATTAAATAAAAAATATTTTAGGATCCAGTACATTTTTTTTTTTTAACTTTTCATAGTAGTAAAGTCTACATAAACTTAGACAGAAACTTAGTTGTTCGGTTCTGTTGAACTTGATTATTTAGGTACTCTCTTTCTCTCTACATCAAGTATATATTTTAGATAAAATGTTTATAAATATAAAGGATATTAACCTTTTGAAAAAATGTAGGAGTTAAGTAAAATAGGTATTTTTACCAAAAAAATTATGTCAATTTATATTAATTATTAAGAAAGCTGTTAGAAATATTTTAATCCTCTAAGGATTAATATAAATGTAGATATTGAAAACGCAACCTATTGCTTTATAATATATTATTATTCCCATAGTTAGTGTCAAAGAGTGTTTGAAAGTTATATATATTTATTTTCAGGTCAAATTTGTTTTATCAAATATTGACTTATGTCACTTTTGCTCTAACATTCATAAATATACATGTATCTAGCATATGTAAATAAGATTTTCTTTTTTAATTTGATATTAATTTTATTAGAAATTATATGATTGGAAAAAATATATTTTTAAGTTATATACAATATCATTTGAGTTGAAGTTGATCTAAAAAATATTAATTTCTATTCTACCTACACTACAACATATTTTCATCACGCTTATGATTACTATTAAAATATATAATGTTAATATAATAGTAATTAATTTGTCTAAAATTATAATACGTTTATTAAAATATTAATGAAATATTTACACTTACATAATGATTGCTTATTTCGTTCTTTTCTATGAAAAACTTTGAAAATATTTATTTATCTACACATATTTTACTTAACAATCAGTTCTAATATATATTGAACACATTTTTGTAATAAAAGAGTTTAAAGGCATTTATGCATTAAGCGGTTAAGATAACAAAATATTGTTTCAATGATGAGTATTTATTATCCAATCTGCTATTGTCACTTATAGATCTATAAAATTAATGGCTACATTTCCCTATAATTATAGAAGAGTTCTCAATGTCAGTTTTCAGATAATTTCTATTACGGTAATATTAAAACAAAATAAATAAGATAATAATGTTTTTATACTTAACAAGAGACTTCTACCGTAAAACCATGCTTTATAAGCGTAGTTGAGAATGACTTATACATAGGCCGAAATATAACGAAAGATAATGATATACTTTGAAATTATTCCAACTTAAAATATGTCTTTATAGGACACATCAACCAGGACGTATGATTTTTACAATATAAAATAATATTTGTGCACGTTTGAACACGAAATAAATAGTCGAATATAATTATGATAAATATAATTTTACACATAACAGACATAATAGCAATAGAATAAAAATTTTTTTCTAAAAACGTAACGTTATTTTTACAATCATCGATATACTTTTGGAAAAGTAACGATTATTTTTAAACTAATCTGAATTCTAAGAAAGCTTTTTCCTATAGAACCACTAATCATAATGAGTGATTGGTTAATCATAAACCACTTGATTACTCGCAAAATAAATACAATATCGGAAAGAAAGTTTATATATATATAGCTGATTTATCATTTAATAATATATTAGAATAGTCCCTTACAACTTATTTTTTAAACAGCAACATACATATTTGACTAGCTTATGAAATAAGAAATAATCTAATTAAGAAAATGACATGTCCATAACAATTTTTGGACCAGTATTTCAGAAGTTATTAACAATTTAAAGTAACGACTGACGGTCAGGAATAGGTGCCGTTATTTTTATCACTAGTCATTTCTCTGTTTCTTCATAAAAATGAGAATAACTTCTTAAGTACTGGTCCAAAAGTCGTTATTGACCACCAGTCATTTTCTTAATTAAATTATTTCTTATTTTATAAGATAGTTAAATGTGTATGTTACATTTTCAAATAATAAAGTTTACACTATACATTATAATAAATGATCCTAAAAAGTAATTGATCGCTAATAAACAAGAATATGTAACAAAAAAAAAAAACAAAATTTTTCTGGTAATATTGTATTTATTTTGAGAGTAATCGAATGGTTTATGACAAACAGATCACCTTGTATATAAATAAGGTAACTTATATTATAGTCCTTGATACTCGTATGATAATAAAATAGTTGCTGTTTTCAAGGACAAGGTTTTATTATATTTATTTAAAATAAGTTAAATGTACACAAACTAATTTTAACATTATACTTTTTACAAATTAAACAGGTGTTCTAAGAAACACTAATATATTACTGTAATTTATTTATGGATTATTAGAAGTTCAAAGTATAATAATATACAATTTAAGTATTCATAGCATTTTTAAAACACTTCAAAAACATTATATAATATATATTTATAATATATAAATATTGATAATTTTAAGGAAATTTTTACGGAAATGAGCTCGGTTCGTAATTGCAGTAACAATACAGTCGATAGTTTAATTAATAAATATTATTTTTGATGAAAATAATTTAGAGTATGGAATAAATATAAAAAACATCGCTTCCTAGAACAGCAATGAAAAAAACTTAATTTTAAAATTTAATTTTTAGGCTACTAAATTGTATTAAAAATGTGATGTTACTTAAAAGAAAAGTTTTCCAATGGCTTTTCTGTAAAAAGACAAAAATGATCTTAATGTATTTTTGTACTAAGTTCTACACAGAATGATTCGTTTATCATAAACCAATTAATTAATTGAAAAATAAAAATACTTCATGATTAGTAAATTGAGAAAAATGGCGTTAGCGGGTTTAGCCTAAAATAAAATATATTTTTACACTTCTATATATCCTTATATAACTTTCTATAAAGTTGCATGAACTTTCAAAATATACAACCCGGCACTATTCATGATAAATGAATCAATATATTTATTTTAGTATTGGTTGCTATGAAAAATTTTACAATTTCAGAGATAATTATTTTGTTTTCGTTAAAAGTGTAAAGAGTCGAAAAGATTATTATATTTATAGAACTTTACATACATTTCTAAGTTAATGTATTAATTATTAGCCATGTCCAAAATTTAAACGATTAAAAAATATATGCGGATCATTGAAAAATGTAATTGTAAGAACTTAAATAACATTTTAAGATGGATTCTAAGTATTAAATAATTTTTTTTTATAACAGGAACTATATCAGTTAAATAATTATTTATACTATTATATAGAAATTTTTGCAAAATTTTTAAATTTTGTTGTCATTGTTTAACCTTGTCTTATTAAAAATACTTATGCATATGCTCAGGGTCGGATTAAGAGTTCAATAGAAACACAAATTAAAGATAGATTTTTAATAAAAAATTAATTAATTTATATAGTTTGAGCTTAAATGGACGGTCTATATAGTTCAGCGCTACATAATCAAATCCTGAAATAAAGATAAGAAAAACTATTGGTATTAAAACTTAAATATGATTGATTTTTAAATATTCCTTATAATAATGTTAAATAGGCGCTACTAGAATACAATTTTTGGGGTTGCTAAATTATTTATTTTTCCATCCTAAACATATTTTTGTATAATTTTCTCATTTTTGCTTTTTAACCCCCTTTAGTTGCAACGATGAAAGCAAAATTGAAAGAACTCCTTGATATTAAAAAGCGTTAGGACATATTCTAAATATAGTGTTCCTGATTTTAACTACAATCCTTCATTCAAACAATTATGAAAAATTTTCGTTTGTCTTTCAAGTAAAGAATTAAAAATAATTTATTTACTAAGAAAAGTGTAACAAAGTCAGAGACGTACATTGAAAGTATTTATAGTTCAAGTGATTAATATAAATACAATAGAACAAAAATGAATCAGGACAGATTGCGAAAAAGCAATCTATCAAAAGCATAATTTAAAGCTTCAAAAAGATAGTGTTTTTGAATTTTAAAAAATGTTGTCAATTATATTATTAGGTACATGTAACAAATTGTCCCAAAAGATTAAAAATAAGCTTTCAAATAGACCAACATTATTATTTTTAGCTTAATAGCATTTTTTATTAATGATATTGGTTAGTGTCAATGATAATAAAAATAGTAAAATAATAGCACAATTGGAGATTAATAATATTGAAAATGATAATTCATGATAAATAACCACAGATATAAATAATAGTTTATTATCCACATCTTTGCAAATAACATATATTCCACTATGATACCACATATACCATATAATAATTATCAAAATTTTGATAAAAATAATTGATAATGAAAAATGTAGTGATAATGGCCCCTTCTTGAGTTTTAAGAGTGAACAATGTTTTATACGCACCCACCACAATTTCTATTTTCAATATTAATTTAGTTTAGTTATCACTATTGTAGAATTTAGAAAATGTAATTGGTCATTCATCACTCATACGTGCTGTTGCTTTCCTATTTTAGATATTATCTTAAATTCACTGTTAGTTTACGTGATGATAGAGTAGAAGACATCCAATCTACAAATCTCGTCGACCGTCGTATTATTTTAAACAAATGCTATGACCTCCAGTTTAAGAGACCAGACATCATTTATGCTTAGCTGAAACCTAATAGTCATTGTTGAAGCCATCCTTGTTGTGTAATAAATTTTTATGGTGCTAAATAAAGCACAATTTAAAGTGAAAGTTGACCATCTCATACACTGACCAGTAATATTGGTGGGAAAAGTGAAACAAAATATTTAGTAAAAATTTCTCATTCATAAAAACGTTTTTGATTTTAATACAAAGAGTATGAGTATTTCGTTACTCATGCTAAATACTTACTACAAAAATGATTTTAATTTTTGATAACAATTAATTTTTGTTCGCATCATTTAAATTATTTGTAGTAACACAGTAAATACACAATAATGGGTCTGTTGTTTTCGAAGATTTGGAGCTACTTTGGAACGGAAGGTAATATTTACAATATAGAATATTACCATTACAGGGTAAAATAGCTTACTGTAACTAATTAGTAAGTGATAATTTCATCCTGCTTGTTTCAGAACATAAGATTGTTATTATTGGGTTAGATAATGCTGGTAAAACCACTATACTTTATCAGTTCTTAATGAATGAGGTTGTGCATACATCACCAACTATTGGTTCTAACGTTGAAGAAGTTGTATGGAATAACATACATTTCATAATGTGGGACTTAGGTGGGCAACAATCACTCAGAGCTGCTTGGTCTACATATTATTGTAATACTGAGGTATGTATGCTACATATTTATTACCTACTCAATTAAATTGATCTGATTATATAGAAAATTCAAGTTATTCAACATTTAATAAATGCAATAAATAATTAAAAATGAATAATTATTAGTAAGTATACACATTCTGTGTTTCATCTTAGAAATTCATTATTCTTATTATTAATTCCTGTTAATGTTATTAAATATATAAAAAAAAATTGGCTAGTTCTTTACACTTCAATCAGAAGAATATTTCTTATAATTCGAACATAAATTAAAAAAAAAAAAGTTTATTTCAAAAGGAAAACAATGTATGTATTAGATGAAGGTTGTTTTTAAATAGTTTTTCATTTTTATTTGAGGTAAAAATTATTCCAGTATAAACTTATCACATACTTTTTACAATAATTTTGTACCATAATTTTTTTCCCTACTTTCTTCAATTGCTATTCAAGAAACTTTTGTTATATTATCAAATGTAAGGTACAAATATTTATATTTTATAATATCTCTAATAACAAATATATATATATATATATATATATATATATTACATTACTACAATCAGAATGTGAAACATTATATGGTCAATTATGATAAAAAAAACTTTTTGGTAAATGTCTTAATAGTTAAGACGTGTTTAATATTCTTTGACGGATTATTTATTAATTTTAATTTTGAGAAAATTGTAAAAACATAATTTTAATTATTTCATGTTAAATTTTAGTCTTTGGATCAAATTATTCCACCCATAAGCCACATAAAAAACTAAATAGTTCATTCACTTGAAAATCCTAATATTTATTACTAGTTTTATTAATTGAATGGTAATTTATTGAAAGGGGTCATTAGACATTTTGGTTATTATCACTATTTTTTTATTTATGTTTTCTAAATTTTTAACATCATCAGATGATGTTATATGACATTAATTATTATTTTTTTTAAGTTTATTAATTGACAACATAAATTAAAAAATATTGTGAAAATTGCAAGAAATTAAAAATTATCATATAGCTACTGCTGTATACCACGTAATAATGAGTAGTTTAATTAAAAAAACTGATAGAATTTTAAAGAGGAACCATAAAAAATATTAGAATATAAAAAAAAAAAGTTTACTTTTTATGACTGTCAAAATAAATTGAAAAGAGATATGTTGAACATAAAAAAAATTATTCATTGTGTCTAAAAGTCAGTTTTCGTATTCATTTTAAGTTTGTATTTCATATTTATTTATGTATTTTTAATTATCTAAAAATAAGGTTTTTACCAAGAAAAATCATTGTTACAGAAATGTTGTAATTTAAATCAATTTTTTTTAAAGATTATAGTCACGGTAATTAATATATACACAAAGAAAGATATAATAAGTTGTTGGTGGTGAGTAATGAAAAATTGGGTTTTTATCAGTTTGTCAAAAATTTAAATTTGTTAATTAATATCTTCTTAATAAATTAAAGTTTAATAATTTATTTAGTGATAGTTAAACACAATTCTAGTTTTATTTTAAAATAAATATCAAAATATTATATATATCAGTTCTATAAGTTACTATTATATTATTGATGATGTATCTTTATAAAAAACATTTATTAGTGAGAGAAATTAAATAACTGGTGTACACAAAGTTTTAATGTCTTGTAGTTGTCTCCTATTTTTCTGTAAGCAAAAATTTTGTTAATATGGTAATTCAATTTTTTTTCTTTTTATAACTATAGAATACAGTATTTTATATTTAATTGGAACTAATATTGAGAATCATATATTTTTCAACTAAACTCCTTATAAAAGTAGAAGTTACCTGTAATATTTAATATAATCACTCTTATTACTATTTGAATTTTATGTCTTTATATGATTTTTTTTTATCAAAAAACATTTATAACAGAAACATTTATTTTTATTCTATTTAAATAAATTTGTATTTTAGTAATGATTAAAATTTGTTTAAATAATTCGTGATTTTTTAAATATCTGATACAATTGTGGGTCAAAGAACCATTATTATACATAATAAATTCCATTCAATTTGAAAATGTGCATATTTTCTACTATACAATTCTATTTTATTATATCATAAAATTTTTTATTTAATTCCAAGCTAAAATTTTATTTTATTATAATTAATGCTGAACAAATTTTAGTATTAAATAGTTTGTTGTCTATGGTAGTTTCGTGATAAGCTAATGTACATTGAGAGAAGTGAATTTACCGGCGGGGTAGAGAATCTGGACCTTCCAGACATCAATATTTTTTCATTATTTAATACGTTGGGTAAGATTCTAATATGTATTCTAAGTAAATTTTAACTTTAGGACCCCTCCTCCATAAAAATTTGAAAATCCGCCACTGTACATTGATATGGACAATATATGGAGTCCAATTCTTTTTTAAATTAAATTTTTCTGTGTAATTAATTGTCAAAAATTATAGTTTTTAGATTATAAATATTTTTTTATTAATTTATAATTTAATAAATTCTAAAAATGATTCAGTTTTTCAAAACTTTATAAAATGTTAGAAAAAATTATTGAATATAGTTAATGATTCGTTTGATTTATTGATAGATTGATTTCATTGTTTAATAAGTAAAAATTGAACAAAAATTTTCTGACGTAATAAAATATAAAATTCTCTTTTTTAAACATTGATTGTAGTCGTATGAAACAATTGCGCATCTATTTGCGTCATATACAAATTTTTGAAATACGTATCTATATAACTTATAAAAGCTTTATCAATTTACGTATTTGTTTTTGGTGCACACAAATGTATATTAGTTATTCAGGTTACTATATTTCTAAGTTTATTTTTTAAGGATTACGAAATTGATTAAATTTTAGACTTCAAAAATAAATATATTAACTGTCATAAAATAATATTCTCAGAGTAATATTTTTATAATGCCTTGTTACAAATGATCAGATACGTATTTGGTGAAGAATAAGAGCAGTATATGCCTTGAGAGTCAAAATTACAGGGGGGGAGCGTTTTTAGTTAAAAAAAGAATTATAATAACTAAATGTAATGTGTACAATAAAAATTATGACACTTATAACTATAATAAATGTATTTGTAGGTATACTTTGTACGTTTGCATATTCTTAGTGTTTCCAATTAACCCATTGTTTTTACTTAGAAAGAAATTTGATTTAAGAGTAAGCTTTTTTATTTTAACCATAGCGGAAAATTCTTTTTGTGATGCATAATTATTATAATATTTTTTTATTATTAAGTTAAACTAGTGATATTTAAAAGTTGCAAGAAACAAGAAAGTTTTAAGTTTCCCGCCCTGCGTTAAATAGTTATTATGTTGTTACAACAATCTAAATCGCATTAGTTTATACAGTTACATAATCATTTTTAATAACCAATTATTTTGTAGATTAATTCAAATGGAATGTTATTCAAAATATTTCTCAATTAATTATGGCTCTTTTTTAAAATTTATCAAAATGCGTTAAATATATTAGCTTGAGATAAAGATGATAAATTAAATATTATATAATTAAAATTAAAACTATATTAAAAATATTAAACTCTAAAGCCACAAAAAATTACTGAAAAGTTATAATATTTAATAATATTAAATATTATAACTGATAAATATGCCTAAGAAATAAAATTTATGATAAATAGAAATAAAAATAATACAATTTTTTTATAAGTATCTTACTAGGTTGATAAAATATATTAATGATAGTAACTAGAAATTGAATAAATTACAATGTAATTTACCTAATTCAACTATAGTTCATATTAATTATATTGGCGTTATTTTTTTATTTAAATGTTACGCGGGCTAGTTATTAATATCATAGTGTTAAAATAATTCTTTATTTTATGTATTTAAAATGGAATTTTCAACTATCTTTAGTTTTTGTTTTTGAATAATTATAAGTATTTAAAAGATTATTTAATTACTATAATTATTTATTATAAGAATGATACATTTTGTAAGAATTTCATTTTTGTTATTCGCATGCATGAAGATATTTAATTTGATTATGAAATTTTCAACGTTTTTTTTGTTTTACAATATGTATGTCTGAATTACTCAATATATCTGTACATCTGATGTCAGTGCATATATAAAAGCATTCTATTCTGTATCAAATTATCATAGAAATTTAAGCTGATTAGTTCATCTAATGATGCATTAAGTGATAGCATTTAACTTATTTTATATTAGATTATAGTTGAAACCTAATTTTACATGGTATGTAACTAATTACTAGTGATTCATTAAATAAGTAAATAAGATTACTACTCAAGTTAAAAATAAGTTTTTCGTTATATGATTTCTTAGTTTTTTATTTTTACTTGTGACTATTTATAAATACTAATAATATTCGAGATTATTTAGGAATAGGCCCTTTAAAAATTAAAAAAAATCGTATGTTTTAAAAAACGTATTTTTTAAAGTGCGGGACAATAAAATAAAGCCCTTAAAATTTTTTTCCCTATTCTGTTTATAAATAGTAGTACCTTGATAAATTTTTAATTAAAATTCCTTTTCAAGCTTATACTGTTTTATTACGTACATTTATAGCCTTTAAGCCAAGTTATAGAATACTTAAGGAATGCAATATTTAAATTTAAGCAATATTGTTATATGTTATGGGATATATTTATACTAAGATGTCTATTTGCACAATACTTTTGCCCTTTGGATGTTAATCTTAAAGTAAATAGATACAATAAAGACTATCGTATTTTTTTTCGTTGAAAATAATACTAAATATAATTATTTATTTATGAACATATTTATAATTTTGTTTTAGTTCGTTATAGTTGTTATTGATTCGACTGATCGAAATAGACTCGATTTAAGTAGGGAAGAACTATACAAAGTATTAAATAATGAAGAATTATCCTCAGCGGCAGTTCTAGTGTATGCCAATAAACAAGATATGAAAGGCGCAATGACCGCCGCAGAAATTAGTAAACATTTAAATTTAACATCGATAAAAAAACAGCAATGGCATATTCAAGCTTGTTGTGCACTTACCGGCGAAGGGTATGTAATTTTATGTTCTATGAACTTATGTATGAAAAAATATTTAAAGTAATTTTATTGTAATTTTCAGATTGTATAAAGGTTTAGAGTGGATATGCAGCCAATTAAAAAATTAAATAATATTAAACAATATTCTTTTTTTTATGTAAATAATATTGTTTTTTTGTAAATAAATTATGTACTTGTAAATATAAAAAACTAATAATGTAAGGATCATCATTGTAACATATTTTTTTATGCTAAATTTATTGATACTGTTTAATTAATTTAAATTATGTTATGTTATTTCAAATAAAATCGTTTTATGAACTGTGTGAAGCAGTTTGAATTTTTTCTTTGTAATTTTTTTTTCATATTCTATTTTTAAATAACTAAAAGGGTTCTTAGGATAGATGATTCGGCATTGATAATTCTTTAAAAATAGTAGCGAGTTTAGAAATATTAAATATATTTACTAATATAAGGTGCCTAAGTCCGTACTTTCAAACTATATTAAGTTAAAAGAATAATTTTTTGAACTTAAGCACGATATAGTTTCAGCCTTAGATTAAACAAATATGGATGGTAACTTTTTTATAACAATTTTATACGTTTTTAATTTTTATTGAAATATTTTTTCAACTTAAATTTCGATAACAACGTGCACAAGTTTATGCACGACTAGGTAATAGCAATATTTTGAAAAATAACTAATATTACTTTTATTATTAGTAGTGCTCGAACCTCAATGTATTACATATTTATGACTGGATAAAGACAACAATTAAAATGTTTAACACATGAAAATTAAATAATGTTGTATAATGATTGTACTATTGTAATTGTAGGTATTTGTTTAATTTTCTTAACTCAATGTTATTAGATGTTATTATTCTTAATTTTTTACTTAAGTTGACAATATTTAGTATTTTGGGTCTATACAGAGGTAGACTGAGAGGCATTCGGCTTGCGTCGTCGTTTACTGATTCAGGAAATGATTATTATTTTGCCTATTCATTTTTCTATTATTTATCTTAGCGATAAAATTATCATGTGTTTAAAAGGGCGTACAAGTACTTTTTTTCGGCGCACCAAAACATATCTCGGGCGATCATAGATTCTGGAGGATTGAGTGGTCGTAGAGACACGATCAATATGTTAGATTTAAACATGACAAAATTATATGCAATCGTACATGGGCGATTTTTGATAAAAAAAGTTTTAGCCTTTCGAAATTTACGTTTTTTCAACTGTTATAACTTTGTTTAGAATTGGTCTTTTAAAAATCGCCATTACATTCGTAATGTAGATAATTTTTTCATGTTTAATTTGACATATTAATCATGTCTCTACTACGCTCAATCCTCCAGATTTTATGATCGCCCCAGACATGTTTTCTTATATTTTTTCAATGATTTACGCTGTTTGATTTACTACGTCCTAGCGAAGGTCGTTGCAACCGTTGGGGGCGCCGATTTCGTAAACCTGTTTTGGCGACGTCATAAATCGTCATCGCTCGTGTGGCAACGAAAACAATTATAATTGTATTTTACATTGAATAATATTTTCTAATTTACTAATTTTTGTTATTTTCCTAAATTACGGCCTACAATCATACATTACTTTATTTTTTCAAGATTATTCCAATTCTATTGTATTTATGAAAAAAATTACAAAAGATATAAATTGTTTCAAAATTTGATTTTCTATTTAAAGGTGAATTATAATTAAATAATAATTTAGTCTATTGACATAATGCAAAAATAAGGAAAAGGTTTTTCTGATTATGCTTTAATCTGTGTAAAAATTCTATTATCTTTCAACGATTACTCATATTCTGTTGTTGCATTTAGAACAAAATTACCAGATGTCTATTTTCTAAAGTACTTAATATTCTATTGAATAGTACTTTTTACGAGGCAAATTATACTATTATTGTTGAGTATATGCTAAATTACATCAATGATTTTTTTAATATTTCTCAAATTTTAATAAATTTAGCATGATTTTTTCTCGATTATTTGAGTTGTCTATTTAGGAGAAAAATTCTACATATCAGTTTTTTTAATCGTGTAATTTTATATTCAGAATTGTACCTCAATGACTTATTTTTGTTGTTTTTTTAGAGTGAGTTGAAGCTAAAATTAAAAAGTATACTTCTCAAATTTGTAAAAATACACATGATTTTTTTTCGTTTCCTGAACTTCTGTTATACTTATGAAAGAAGCACAAGGCATCAAATACAGTTTAATCTAAAAAGTCATAATGAAGTACAACTGAAATAAATAACTAACAATTTTTAAAAGTTTTAATAATTTTCGTATTTTCCTCAGTTATTTAAGTTGTGTCAAATTTAGAAAAAATAACCAAATTAAATTATTAAAATATATAATTTAATAATCAAAAACGTATATTGCTATCCTAATTTATTTGTTTTTGATAAATTAAAGCCAAAAAAAAGTTCATAACTTGTAAAAAATACATAGTTTTTATGCGTTTATTTCAATTTCATTGAACTTTAAAACATTCTTTATTTAATTCGTAAACTCTATTTATAGTTTGTAAATGCAACCCTTTTTTCTAGCTATATAGGGAGTGCAAAGTAGGACTTAACATTTTCCCAGATTGTTTTTACTATGAATTGTTTTTTTTTTATCTGTTCTTAAAGAGTATTATCAGATTTCTCCAGATTGATTATATTATTGTTAATCTATACGTTAAAAGAATCCAAATTTAATCAAACTGAACTTATAGTTTCCAAAATTTGAATAAGCCGCCTCAATATTAATTATTTAGAAGAATATCTCAAAATTAGTCAATCGCCGGAAGTTACAAATTATAATTTTTTTTTATATTTTAAAATTGCTATAATTTTCTTTTAAACTTCACTATCTAAACAAAATTTTTAACTTTTATACCAGAGATAAATAATTTTTAAACTATAAATGAAAATTTAATTAGAAATCTAAGTACAGAAAAGCTATGAAAGCAATCAACTATACATTAAACAATTTTTTTTTATTTCAATTTTTGAAAATGTGAAAAATTAGATAACTTTAAATTTTTCTTAAATTAAAAATTGTAATGTAGAATGAAGGTGGTTAATATAAACAAAAAGAGAAATTCAAAATTCATTTTTTCTTTAAGAATATTTAACTGGTTTTATTTTAAATTGAAAAGTTATGGTCCTTATATGTTGATATCATATTGAATTTAAATTCGAAATAAAAACTTGTGCATTTATCTAAAAAAATGCATTATTACAAATACCACACTTCACCTTACTTAATTCAGGAAAAAATAATTGGCATCGATTTGTCTTTTATGAACAAATGTTCGTCAAAGTTTCTTTAAACTCCAAAATTCAGAACGTTTATATAAATAGTTTTACAGAACTTTTTTTCTAGGAAAGGTTTTAAAAAAAGTAGTGTTAATGATAGTGATGTTAAACGTTGTTAAAATTTAACCTATACTGATTCATCTTATGCTTATTCTCAATTTTATAAATTTAGAAAAATATCGTAGATTAAGCTAATCTAAAAAAAAAAGAATTCTAATTTTTCTTTTTAACTACTACTTATACTGATATTTTAAGATTGCTATAAATTTTTTACAAAGATTTACCTATCCTAACGAACTTTATATAAACATATTAGATGCAATAATGTTTTTTGTATATTATTTGACAGTATTAGGTCAGTAGAAGTTGAGTAATAGGGGAAACAGATACAAAAATAAGCAAAAGCACATAATAGTATAAATTTGATATAATAATTAAAAACTGAACAAAAGATTTAAAAAAAAAATACAAAAATGTTGCGACTAAAACTTATATTTTTATTCATTAATCATTATTTTAAAGTATCAAATTAATAAAACTCGTTTTAGTCTCTTGACCGAGTTGGTTTGCAAAATTAATAATTCCCTAGTTTTAGACTGAATGTGCATCATTAAACTTCTATGATCAAAATCATAGAACTTTTAAATGCTCAGTTATGTTTTAGATTGCTTAATCAAATAATTAGGATCGTATAATAATATCTTAAATATGCAATATTATATTAGACTATTTAAATAAACTTCTAATCGTTAGATTTAATTTGACTTAAATATGATTTTTTAAAAGATGTTAATACAAATTGGATACTTACAGCATTTAATTAAAAAAAAATATATACATATATTATTAATTGAAAAATAGCTTAAATAATTTTATAAATGTTTGTATTGATATATTTGTGATCAATCATGTTCTTCAAGTATAGAATCGGGGTTTAATCCTGAATGAAAAAAATAGTTGAATTTTTTTAATTATAAAATTTTAGTTTAATTTAGATTATGATTAAAATAAAAATGAAAAAATAATTTTTTTGTATAAAACTGTATTTAATGTATCCGTATTTGAATAAGTAGTAATTTACCTTCGTTAAGAAATTTGATCAATTCTATTATCTCATTATTTTTGGATTGATTGTCCGATTCTAAAATACAACGTTTGAAGACATTTTTAGCTTTAATTATCGTGGGTAACCATATTATGCAAGTTTAAATTTTAATATAGTAAATTAAAATTAATATTTCATTTTTTTTCATAAAACAATTTGCAAAACAATTTTTTATGAATTGTTTTTTTTAAATATCTAATTTAATATTAAAACATTTTACCTCGTTCATAAGAATCTTCATTTTCTAATTTCAATTTTATTCCACATTCACTATTCAATTGCAAATTACTGTCAACTATTGTAAATAGTATAAAAAATATTAGGTTGGGTTAATTAAATATTTTTAATAATTTTATTATTGTTTTGCAAATAACATTTCTGACCGGAGAGGACTTGTAATCCAGTCTCTGGTTTTATGAGAGTTAAATATTGAGTATAGTTAGACAAAAAAATTTCAATTTCAATATATCATTTGACTCATCGATCAACCTAAAATATCAAAATTAAAATATCGATAAATCATCTAAAAATCATTATCAAAAATGATTTTGAAGTGTAGATAAAAACACCAAAACATTTTTTGTTACTAAATATTGATAGCAAGCTATAACATAATTCTTTTGACATAGTAGAATCATGTAATATTTTTAATTTAAAAAATACTTTTGCGTATAAAATTATAGATTAAAATAACTTGAAAATATTTGAAATATTTTTAACTTTGATGCGAAGTTAAGAAGGTATTAATTTTACTATGATGTTTTTTTTTTATTGTGTCTGTCACCACTTTTTCTTAGCTCTCGCCCAACTGATATCTTTCAACGATATGTCAAAAGATTAAAAATCAATAATTTTCGAAATATTTTTTACTTATAATGGCCATAATTTGTTTAAAATTGACAAATCAATAAAAAATTTTATAGATAAATGAGGTATTTAGTATCATTTGGTATATATTTTTTATAAATCTGACCATTACCTGTTCACAGAAGGGGATTCAAAATGACAACTTTTTCACAATAAATTAACTTTTGAAAATGTTCCGGAAAGTCTGACACTTTTATATATGTCTTAAATTAAAGCCTCTGTAATATATTTTAAATATTCATTTTCTTTTTGGTGAAAATGACTCAAAAATTGAAAAAATGCTCTAATTTATCAATTAAACAGTTACTTATCTCATGTTCTCTATAGAACATATGTTCTATAACTATATGTTCTATAATTATATGTTCTTTCTTCAGACAATTAAAATCATTTATTTCTAATATTTTAAAAATATTAAATGTCGAATCAGGTTTGGATATGATATAGGTTTCAACTACAAAAACAAATAATTTTACTTTGTATTTTATTAATTTTCTAACTTTATTTGTGTGTGATACTAAAAGTCTATAATATTCCAAATTTTCTGGTAACATGTTGCTGTATAAATCATAAATCTAAAAAAAAATGATTTTTAGTTTCACCTGAATTTAACTTAAATTTTTTACAATTATAATCGAATTTTATACTACGCTTAATTGAGAAGATTTAAACATTTTGATTTGTTTTTTTAATGAAAGCAAATTATTAAAATTAATTAAGTTCTGAATATTTAAACTTTAGAAATTTTTGAACACCACAAGTTACATAGAAATGATAACTATGATTTCTATTTAAGTGATGTATTATATAGAAATGCAAAAAAAATATTGACACTTTCTGATAAATTTACTATAAATAGTAATTATAAAGTTTTCTGACTGCATATTAATTTTAAAAATAACATTTTTTTAATTGTCATATTATTTTCTATTTAATGATGACAATTTTAAACTAACACTATGAGCAAATAGTTATAGTAACAAATTCAACTTTTTTTATCTTGAACAAAAATAACTTTAAAGAACCAAAAAAATAGGTTAAAAATGATATTTTGCACTGATTATTTTTAACATATTAAAAATCAAAATCAGTTATAATTTGAAAACACTTTTTTTTTTTTTTTAATTATTTTTTGTACTCATTTTTTACTAATTAGTAATCATATCAAAAATTAGAAGTGTTAGAAAAAGTCTGTAATGGTAAATTTAAAAACAAGGAGAAAAGTTGATTTAAAAAAGTATATTTTTGATTCTAGTGAAAGTTCGTTGTAGAAAATTCATCAGAATATAAATTTTACAAAAAAAAAAAAGATATATTATTACTGATTTTGATTTTCAATATGTTAAAAATAATCAGTAAAAAATATCATTTTTAACCTATTTTTTTGGTCCTTCAAAATTGATTTTTTGAAAGTTAATAATAAAAAAAGTTGAATTTGTTACCATAACTCTTAGCTCAACTTGCAAGTTTGATATTGACATCATTAAATAGAAAAAAAATAAGAGAATTAAAATAATGGGATTGATAAGATTAATATGTAGTCAGAAAATGTTAGAATTACTATGTACAGTAGTGTCAGTGTATCCGTAACATTTTCAAAAGTTTAGTTGAAAAATTAGTCATTTGGAATACCCCTAAGTGGGGTATTCAAATTACTGATTTTTAAATTTGTAATTTTTTTGGAGATTTCCCCCATTTACGAGGAACAAGGGAATTTTTTTCAATTTTTAGAGTATAGTCTGCGACTATATATGATTTGTGATATTTGACGTATCGTTGAAAAAAGTCGGTTTGGTGCGAGATGAGAAAAAGTGGTAACAGATACAAAAAAAAGCACATCATAGTAAAATTAATACCTTCTCAGCTTCACATCGAAACTAATACCAAACTTGTGTTTGGTTGTTTTTGATTAATTTCTAACAGCGTATAGTTAAAATTACTAAATAAATTTAGTTAATAATTTTTTTATAGTTGGATCAATTATGAGAATTTTTTCTAAATTTTTTCTTTTTTATTGATTAAATAACTTTATTCGCTATATTATTATCTTTGCATTCAATGTTTAAATAAAAATAATAACGTCGATTGTTTGAAGTTATTGCTATATTAATTATTAAAAAGTCATTACTTTCAATAGATTTCAATTGTTCACGTGTAAAAATTTTCTTGGTTTTTAAATCGTAGTCGAATCCTAAATTGTGATATTTGTCGTAAATGATTGTTAAAAATTTATGATATAATTTTTTACTCAAATAGTCATATAACCTTTGGTTTTTGTTTTTACTAAAAGAGGTATTCTTGTATTCTTCATTCAAATTTTTCCATAATGAGTCTAGAATATAAGGTTTATATTCACAGTGTCCCTTTATACCAATATTAATTTCACTTTCTATGTTTATAAAAAACATATCTATGGTTTTTAATATATTATTAATGGAAGAGGAATCATTTGATGATAAGAGAATATCTTTGAAAGACATACTATGAAACATTGTAGACACTTTAATAAACATGTAATCTGATTTTGTATAGTAATTTTTGCCGGTATCCCATGGTTTTGTATGTAATGAGTCCAATGCCATTAGAGATCCTTCCATTATTGTTACTAATAAAGGTATTTTATTTATTACATTTAAAAACTTTGTGGCGCACTCATATCCCATAATTTTTAGTATCGTAGAATTATTCAAATATCTACAATGTATAATAAACTGTTTGAATACATAGATTAATAACTTGAAATCCTTCATGTACGAACAAGCCAGAATAATAGTAGAGCCCCTTATTTGTCTATCACAAGATCTAGTATTGGGAGTTTTAAAAATTTCTTCAAAAATATAATTTTTGTTAAAAAAAATACCTTTTTCTACGTCATTTAGATTTATCCATCCTTTATTATTGAAAATATTATTTACCATATTAGTGATTTTTATTGTATTGTGTGGCGCTTCAGCTAGCCATATGGCACAAAGTAATAATAAACAAAATTCTAACAGAATAAAACGACTCATATTTTTTTTATTAACTAAATAATAATGATATTATACTAAAAAGTATCAAGTTTTATATCATGGCATTAAATAAGTCAAGATTCAGTTATTAGATTCATTAAAATCTATTTTAATAATTTGTGTCGTTAGTGTATTTGTATATCTGTAACTTAAAAATAGAGAAATCAACAGATAATTATGTATTTTTCGATTCTGATTTCAGAATTAATACCAGAGAAAAACTGTTTTAATTATAGAATGTCTGTTACATTAAACATATTACACAAACATGAAGCAATTGCAATAAAATTATAAAATAAATAATAAAAATGAATTAATTAAAAAATAAAGTATACGCATGTTTTTTTAAATGATAATAACTTGACAATTTTTCTATTCAATTTGTTAATAATTTTTTATAACATAAAGTTGATTGAATAAAATTAAAATACTTTTGGAAAAAATATGCCCTTCTTGTGTATTTCGCATTTTTATGTGATTTTTAAATAATATACACTTTTGTTTTCTGATGAGTATAGTAGAAAAAATTAATATAGATGTACTGAAAATACGTCAATATTAATTTAAGAATTGTTGATTAAATAATTATATTAATTTTACTATTTTAGTAAATTTTATAATTTTAAAGTATTAATTAATACTTTTTTGTGAAAAAAATTATAAAGTTAACTGATATATATATACTCTTAGATACTTAAGTCGAAAAATAAATTTTGAGATTTAGTATTTTTTTAATAAAAAACAATCGCACAGTGGTGTCGCGGAACAATATGGATGAACAAGCTGTGCTTGAGACTTTTTAGTGAGGCTTGGAATTAAAACTTTCAATAAGGCAATTCTATCACAAGTGTCATTTATGTTTAATATTTTAATATTTTATTTTTACTCAAATTAAATAAAAAAACGATAGCATAGTGGGGTCGCCGCACAATGGGGACGTGGCATAGTTGGTCCAGTATAGATAATATTTGGTAGTTATTAAAATCACTATTATAAGAAATGCTTCCATACAAAACTGTAGATAGTATTTAATTTTAAGAAATCGATAGATTATACTGAAAGCAATAACAACTTTCATTTTTTTAATTGTGTCCTGATTATTAGTTTTGTGATTTATAAGTATAATGTATGAATAAATACTAATATAGTAATGAAGTTTAGCATGAAATGTAGTTCAATAATTTAATATTGTACTAAACAAATTATAAAGTAATTGTAAATTTCGTTACTTCTATGAAAAACGTGTATTAAAATTGAAGGGTATGATACAAATTATTTCAGAAAATAATTTGGTATAAATTAGTCTACAAACAAAATTTTAAACAATGACAAAAATATACTTTTTCTTAATCAATTTTTGCGCTGATTTTAAATCAGCGCAAAAATTAAAGTATATTACATAAGCTTTAATTTAATATATATATGAAAGTGTCAGTATTTCCGGAACACTTAAAAAAATTAAGTTGAAAAAGTTCTAGTTTCTATATGCATTTTTTAGTTTTGAAACCTCTCCTGTATACAGGGTAATTTTTTTATCATAACCCACTCAATTACTTACAGAATAATAATAATTAAAAATTTTTTTTTTATTATTATCTTTAGTTATTTATTTTATGATATTACTATCACAGTCACGGATTGTTTATTACCAATTATGATTATCAATAGGTATACTTTTTGTATTGTCAGTTAGTGTATTTATAAACTCACAATAATGTACCATACTATCATTGATAATAACAATACTGTGTACCTGCTAATATCGATGTCATAAAAAATCAATTAGCTACCTGTATTTGTAATCCCTTGTGTATTATACCTATATATTAACTCAAAAATTTGAAACTTTAAATGTTTATATCTAATAAACGAATTAAGTTATATTAAAAATTCAAATGCCATTTACTATTAAATTAAAAACTCAAACATTTTATTAAATTAAAAATACGTGTTACCATTTAAAAAAACAAAGTTGACTCCCTTACCAGGCATAAGGGATGAACTTAAAAAGCATTACATAGTTAATAATTCAAGAATAATGTGTAACTAAAGATAGTAATAAAAAAAAATGTTTAAATTATTATTATTCTGTAAGTAATTGAGTGGGTTATGATAAAAAATCACCCTGTATAGGGAAATAGTCAGATTAAAAAAAAAAGTGTGTCAGATGAACCAGGTATATAAATATTATTTATAAAAAATAATAATATTGATGCATACATTTTTCCAAAAGATATATTAATATAAAATTAACAATGTAAAATATAAAATCGAGAATTTTCACACAAAAATAGCATTCGGTAGCCGTTTTCACCATGAAGACAAGTCCAGAGGTCAAATTTTTTTTCTTTATAATAAAGTACATTACATTAGCTTTAATTTAAGATATATATAAAAGTGTCAGACCTTCCGGAACATTTTCAAAAGTTAAGTTGAAAAAGTAAATTTTTTGTGAAAAAGTTTCTATTTTAAATCCCCCCCTGTGGGCAGGTTAAGTGTCAAATTTACAAAAAAAATATACCAAATGATAATTAAAGACATAATACTTCTATAAAAAAAATTATATTAATTTGTTAATTTTTCAAAAAGTTATGGCAGTTTTTAGTAAAAAAAATAGAAAAAATTTCGAAAATTAGCGATTTTTGAGAGCTGAGAAAAAGTGGTAACAGACACAAAAAAAAAAAACACATCATAGTAAAACCAATACCTTCTCAGCTTCGCATCAGCGCAAAAAAAGAATTCAGACTTTATTGTGTCTTCAAAATCTGTGATAACAGATATCAAAGTAAATTAAAAAAATACGATTTTTGTAATAAATTCTTTTTTATATTTTTTTCTTTATAATGCTACAACTTTTTGAAAAATGTATGGATCATTATAATTTTTTTTATGATAAATACTATTTATATACCTCTTTCATTCGAAATACTTACATTCATATATTACACTTATACATCATAAAACTTGTAATCAGGATATGAATAAGGAAATAGGAGATCATGTAGCTTTTAGAATGATCCATTAACTTTTTAAAATTCAACATTATATATAGATTTGCATCGAGCGTTTTTTATGATAGTGATTTTAATCACTGTCAGATATCATTATACTTGACCCAATTATGTCACGTCTCAATTGTGCAGCGACCCTACTGTGTTAGGGTTTTTAACTTTATTTTGTAATGTGAAAATTAGTTTATTGTGCTTGTAATAATATTTGAACCATAATACTCAATGATATATTGTTAATAAATATGTCCCAATTTTCTCATATATTTTATGGAAGTTTTTAACAATAAACCTAAGTAGAGATTCGGACAAATAGAGATAAAAATTTTATATTTTTTATCGAATTTTTTAATCTTGTCAAAACATTACATGTGTTTTGAATTAACGTGTATATTAAAAATATCATACTGACGAATGAGAATATGTTTTAACCATATCTTACAATTTAAATTTTTTGTCAATTTTTTTAAAGATTTTTAATATTTTTAAATTAAACTTTTTGTAGAGTAATTAAAAAAAAAATTGAAATATTTTTCCAACAAATATTAGCTTTGATGCGATTCTGATAAGATAACTAATATTTAAGGTTATGAATTTTACTATGTGTTATTTATTTATGCCCCATAGATATAATTAATTGATTATAAAACTATGACTTATATTTTGTGGTAGGAATAAGGAAATAATTGACATAACTATAAAAGTTTTCCAAAAAATAAGAAAACTTATAAGTATACAAATTTATTTTTCTAAATCTAATTACTTATAGATACTTCATACATTTTTGAACACATAATTTTTACTTTTAAAGAAAATAATTATGTTCATTAAATACGATTTTCAGCTAAAATCATAAAATCAATTTAATATTTATATTACAAAAAATGTCTAAATAGAGATAAAATATATTTTAACTGTAAAATGAATGTATTAATACATGTGATTTAGGAAGAATATTGATAGTTTTGGTGATAGAGCTATTAGTTTGTAATAGAAGTAGTAGTAACTCCTATATTAACGGTAAAGATTTACCATTAGATTTTTTTTTACATACTTCCGTGGCTTTTATGAAATTTTTAATACTGACAGTAATTACTTTTAGAGGACATTAGTGTATTTTCTCATATGTAGTTTAGTAATACAAAGTTCAAATAATTCTTTAAAATGAATTTTATTTACTTAAATTCTAAACATTTTTTTAATGTTTTTACATTATCTATATAAGAAAATGTTTGTTGACCATTCTTGTTTCTAAGCTTATGGCGACATATCTAGTTGTTAATTTTTAAAAGGCTATTGTTAATTTAGTATATAAGTTATATGGATGATTTATATGTGTTGATATATATTTTATATTCTAATTTTTTTATTTAAAAATAGTAAAGTTATTAAATAATACTTGTACTCAAAATGAAAAGTAATAGTAATATGAAAAAATGTTTACTTTCTTATACACCTATAACCTTTTTGAATAGTACCTTATAAAATTATCATAATGGATATTTTTCTAAAATGTCTATGTATTACAATGACTAAGCTTTTAAAAAAACGATTAACGATTGGCACTTGCAAATCATTCAGTCGTAACATTATATTTAATTTATTATAATGTAATGGATTGGTAAAAGTAATACTAGTACAATTGATGTCTATTCTCATTTCATACATTTATAAACTTGCCATTGCTTACATTTTTATTAACAAATTAGTCAGAAGTCATATTTTGTAATATATTTGTTGAATTGAATTTACAATGGTTTTTTTCCTTGAACGTATTAAGCACGTATCTACTTTATGCCATATCTTTGGAGCAGGTTTTCGATGTTATGATTCCAAGAAAGCTTTTTTATTGTACTGGACACTTTATATTGGAATCGTTTTCTTTAATATTTTAGCTTATTATCGAGGTATAATTCGTATATCAGTTGTTTTTGTAAATAGACTGGATATTATGTCAATAATCAACGTCATTTGTATTCACATAAGAATTTTAACTCCATTAGTCATGGTCTGCTCTAAGTTGTTGGCTGATAATGAAGTTTTAATTAGTACCATACGATCAATTGATGACTTAATACCAACTTTACAAAATACTTCACTGTTTTCTTACGCTTGGTACTTTTATTGTTGGATAATATTACATGTTATAACGGAAGTTTCACAATTATTTTTTTTCTGGTCAGCTGTTAATTTTAAATATATCAATTGTGTGGATGCTATTCTCGGGACGATTTTAAATGTTGTGATTTGTATCCCTATTGTGCAGTATAATATGATAATGCTACTTATTGGTCGTGGCATTAGAGAAATCAACAATGATATCACATCGATAAGAAAATGGAAACCATATCGAGCTAAATGGAAAGAGCTTAAGAATAAAGCACAACATATTACACATTATGTTTACAATATGTCAATTGTTATTTTTGTTATCTACACTATGAGTGATATATTTTGCTTTGGTTATACATTTACCGTTTTAGTTGACTATAATAAAAAGAAATTAATAATCTGTTTTTTCATTACATTTTTTATGCGATTGGGATTTTGCGTTGAACTATTTCGAGTGGCCAACATTTGCAAATATGAGGTAATTTACTGCATATTTTATAAGTTTTAATGTCACCTGAATGTAATAAAATTTATTACCCATTTTTGTTTATGTTTTTATCTAGATTCTTAGAACTCAAAGTATTCTTAATGATGTTAAGATGAATTCTATTTTAGATTTAAAAGAAATAAAATTACCAAAACATTTTTTATAGAAGAAAATAATACAGTTAAAGAAAAATTATATAGTTTTTATTAACGTTTATAGGTCCAGTATACTTCTCTGTATATGTTACATTCAGATTTCAATCTAATGCCATGTGGTTGTTTTAATCTATCATTTAGAACTTTATTAACTGTAAGTAAAAAATATAAATTGTAGTTATTAATGTTAAATTTGTTTCTACAACTCTAATTTTTATTTAATTAAATTACTGTTCGGATTGGTGAGAGTTTAAGAGGTGGGATACTCACTAGCTCGAATTGAAAAAATTCAACATTTTAAATTTCAATATTAATTTTTAAACAGTTTATTTATTTTCATTTTATCACATCGAGCATTCAATAATGTTTTTAATCGATTTTGAGTTAAAATAAATTTTTATTTCGTTTAGATTTTGGGGATGGCCATAGCTTGTTTGGCATATCAAATTCAAATCAAAATTGGCTAAAAGTATTACTTTGATCGAATAAGTAAATTACATATGATTAAAAGTTTTGTATATTTTAAATTGGTTGAAACATTTTAGCAGTTGAGTTTTTATGAAATACTTTAGTCCTAGGTAAAATATAAATTTTATTTACAGCTCATTACTAATCGTTCATAAATCAAATAAATTAAATAACTATGTTTTTGCGATTATTAATAGTCATATTCTAAAATTTTACTAATATTATTCAACTAAACCAAAATAACATTTTTAGCGTTATTTTGATCAAATAATAAATTAAAATAATGTATTATTTTAGGATAAATTTAGTGTCAATGATAAATCTATTGATTTATAAATAATTAATTATAAATTTATAAATAAAAATTTTATAATAAATTTATTATAAATAATGAACCACAGTAATTTACTCATCTATACAAGAATACTACTCTATATATATATATCGATGACCAGTGCTCGAATTAGCCAAAAATAAGTAGGGGAGCTCAACTTAATAATTTGAAAACTGCGTCCATTTTGAAGACCTTTTTTTTTTTTTTACTNCTTAACAATTTGAAAACTGCGTCCCTAGCATTTTGAAGACCTTTTTTTTTTTTTTACTCATTACTTTATTTAGTATTTATTAATAAATCATATTTCATGATCATACTAATATTAAAAAAAAAAAAAAGAGGTAGTATTTTCCACCGTCCTCCCGTCCCAATAAAAAAAAGTAGTTGGGGTGCGCAAAAAAATTTAAAAAAAAGTAGAGGAGCTACGTTCCCCTGCGCACCTCCCCAATTCGAGCACTGTCGATGACCCATAAGACTAATGCAAATTTTGAAAATTTTAGTGTTTGAACACGTTTAGAGTATAATAACCTTATTGATAACTAGTTTTGAAGTGTTAATCTTCGAGGTATGAGCATTTTAAGATTTAGAAAAGACGAGGAGTATGGTAGTGATCAGCAACGTCCTATTTTTACTATGACGCACAGAATTCATCAATATTACACACCCGTCTAGCTTATAGTTAAAAATTCTATTAACTCAAAAATGTAATGAACCAAAAATAGAAATAAAATAAATAAAATAAGGTAAAATATAAAGTAAAAAGTAATATGGAATGAAAGGGTAATATAGAATTGATATATAATATAGAATGTAGAATTGATGTATAAAATAAAAAGGAAAATAGAATTTATGTAAAATTGGTTGGAATGTTTAATTTTTTTAATTTATATAATTTTGTTTAATTTGTTTATTAATGGTTTATATTTTTTTATTAATAAATTATATTATTAATTTATTAATTCTTCTATTTAATTTTTATTAATGGTTTATTACGCAATAGATTGTTGGAGGTTCGAAAGAATAGGATAAATTGTACTTACCTTACGTCCTATGTAATGCAATAATATTTCAAGTAATCCAATGTTGATTTTGGCATCAAATATTTATGTAAAAATTTATATAGTTGTAATTTTGGTGGGCCAATGTGTCCCGGCGCTAGTGGCTTGAAAGGATGCGGCACAATAATCACCTAGATGTTCGTAAGAACAGATACATTAAGCTCAAAGACTAGCTACCCAATACACATAGGTTTACAAATATATTCTAATCTAATATACATAATTCTAGATAATATCTAGTTGCAACTTTTACTCTGTAATATTATATTATCACTTATAATATTAAAATATTATATTATGTTATCTTTTGTACATGTATGTCAATATTATGGATTCTCAAGATCACCAAAACAGGGTTCCCTTATTTAAAACATAAAATAATCAATAAACTAGGCAATTAAATCTGATTATCGTACAGATTCAAAGTAACGCCTATGTGTGGGTTCTCAATTAGGTCCAGACAATCACATTTAACTATTAATTAAGATCTACAGTTTCTAAGATCACACTAGGTATCGCTACACGACCCTCATCTACTATAAAAACCCATTTTTTCCTATTAAAATCAGTTCTTTCGACGATTTTAAAATACACAAATTCTGCGACACACTACTCAAGATTCTTACTCTCTGGGACTTAGTTTTTTTTTTATATTTAATTTGGACTTAGAATATTTTTTCAAGCTAAATGACATTTAGAAATTTTAAAGTGAATTTTGTTTTGGTTAATCTCTTAATTTGACTTGTTCATTAAACAATAATGTTTTATTTTATAATGGAAATAAATGTCAATTAATATTTTAAACCTCAAACATTTTTTTTTAAAAAACTATTTTTTTTATATATAATAAACCCGAATCAACTCTAATTTTCTCAGTTAATGGTAAATATTTATTATATGCTAAAGGTTACAGTTATTTCAATTTAAACTAATTTAATAACATTTTTATTGGACTAAGTGTGTTGCAACTCTATACTTATTGGGTAGCTAGCCATTTTGGTTTAATGTCTTTGTTCTAACGAACATCGCGCTGGCAGACAGCACAGAGAAACTTACGAATATGTTTTTTAGTGTTTAATTTTTGTCTTGGTGATTATTGTGCCGCATCCTTTCAAGGCAATATCGCCGGGACACATTGGGCCACCACAATTCCGCTTTGACAAATCTTTAACATAGATATAAATATTTCTGAATTTTGTTTGGGCCAGGCCAGAGGAAAATTTAAGAAATATTGGTGTCGATCTCTCAATAAAATATAATCTCATAAATAATATACTCATTTTACAAAGTCAACTAAGGATACATTATTTGATATAGTTATAAAAAAAACATAGAGTGTATAGAATCTCTTGCATATATAGTCATAGATTTTGTGTAATGGTTTCGTATTATTTATAATTAAACACTTATTCTCAAACGTTCATATTTACTGTCAAACTCAAAGTGTACAACGTGTGAAATACAGTGTGAACTCATAATTAACATTGGATTGTTTAAAATAAGCATTAAATTACGTGGGATACGAGGTAAGTACAAATTTAAATTTCCGCTTTCAAATTATAAATACTCTATTGCGTAATAGACCATTAAGATAGGTAATAAAGTTTTGTAGGATAATTGACTTAATTTATTCAATATTGTTCAACCCTGAGATCAGCTTATTATTTTTATCACAACGTTTGTGTACATTTTTATTTATTTGATCATTACCCTCATGTATTTAAACTCCGTTTATTCACCCCTCTGAATTCTTCTTTATTCATATCATTATATCCTTTGCACCCTTACATATCTTGCCACATTTAAACATGTGTTACTCTGCCATTTATTATTTTGTTTAATAAATTTTTATTATTATTCGGCCATACATACGCTACATTATGTCTTTACTCTGACTAAGAATCAACCCTTCAATTTTCTTTTGGTACAATATAAGCATTCACACCTTCAATAGTAAAATCCACATCAACACCATTTTTACCCTTCGTTATTTATTTCCCTCAAACCTATATCACACCATTCGTTCCCCATAGCTACCGCCCTTTTCTTTACCTTCTTGAACCTTCATCTTATATTGATGAGACAATTTTGCTCTTATTTTTCTTTTTGGTTTATTACAACTTTGTCCGCCGGCGCGATGCTCGTTAAAGCAAAGACATCAAGCTCAATGACTAGCTATCCAGTAAGTATAGAGCTGCAATACACTTAGACCAATAAAATTAATAATAAATTAATTTAAATCTCAGTATCAACTGAGAAAATTGTGACCTTTAGCTCTGTCCACCGGCACGATGTTCGTTAGAACAAAGACGTTAAGCTTAGAGACCCAACAGAAAAGCTCACAATAGATTTTTACTATTAAATAAAAATTTAAAATTTGGTTGGATTTATTATTAAAATAACATAATTAAAAAAAATTTAATGTTTAAAATATTATTTGATATTCATTTCCACAATAAGAAAAATAAAACATTATTACTTAATGAACAAATTAAATTAAATTAAAAGATTCATTAAAACAAAATTCACTTTGAAATTTATAAGTGTCATTTAGTTTTAAAGAAAAATATTCTAAGTGTAAATAAATTAAAAAAAAGACCAAGTCCTGAAGAGTGAAATCTTGAGTAGAGTATCGTAGATATTGTGTATTTTAAATCGCCGAAAGAACTAATTTAGATGGGGAAAAATGGCTTTTTATAGTCCAAAGGGGTTAGCCCAGTGATCCCTAACATGATCTTAGAAGCTGAAGCTTTCTATTCTAATTGATTAATTATAATGAGGACCCTGCGTGTAGGCGTTACTTAATCATCTTTACAATAAGTACATTTTATCCCATAATTAACTGGTTATTTTGTATTTTAAATGAGAGAACTCTGTTTTGGTGATTTTATATATTCATAATATTCATAATATGTGAAATACATGTACAAATGATAACATAATATTATATGTTAATATTTAATGTAATAATATAATATTACAAAAAGTAATTATACAATACTGGTTATCAATCTGTCAATATTTTATTTAGGCCAATCTCCATCTAATATTAAAAAAATAATTATAGGTTCCCATTTAACATTTGAAAGTTGTTCGTAAAATTTACCTTAAAACAAATTTTTTCATACAATTAACTTGATATTTATTATGGTTTATAAAAATGAATTAAATATTAGTCTAAAAATTTTTAAGATAAATTCATTATTTATCGAAAATTTTACTAAGCAAAACAGGTCTATCTGGCAACTTTTAATTGAATTGCTATTCTTAAAAGGTATAAGGGTTGAATATAGAAAATACTTCATTATTGATATATTGAACAAAACATGTAACTAATAGAAACAAATAAAAATTCTAAATGTTATTTTTCTTTTAATTTACTGGTTCATTACAAAAGAATCACATTGCATACTTCGTTGGAGTTTAATAGTTGGATACACTGCGCATTATTCCGGATTGCGTCAGAATTGCTGTACAGTTGTATAAATATAACATGCTATAAACTAAAATATAATTTTTTTAGAATTTGTTTCTATTCCAACTGTCAATTTAAATTATATATTCAATAGGTGACATAATATATTCAACTCCTTGATTTTTATTAATAATATAAACTTTTCAAATTGACAGTTTTGCACTTAGTCATTTATTGAACCATAATATTATACTTTAATAAATATTTTTATAAAATTGATTTACAAAAGTTGTTGTTGTCTAGTTAGTTGATTATCATCATTGTAAACCATATCGCCAAGTGAAAAAAAAATTTCCAGTTTTTTGTTAATCTAAATATGGCGTATTTATTTGAACGTATAAAATGTTCACTTACTATATGTAATGTATTTGGAGCAGGTTTTAAATATTATGACACCAAAAAAGCATTATTCGAGTACTGGTCACTTTATATTATTAACGTTTTTTTAAATATTTTTATCTACCATCGAGGCATGATTCGTATGACTACACTTTTAGTTCATGTACTTGATATGATGTCAATACTCAACGTCATTTGTTTTCATATAAGGATATTAACTCCATTAGTAATGGTTTGTTCTAAGTTGTTTGCTGATAATGAAGTTTTAGTTAGTACCATACGATCAATTGATGACTTAATACCATCTTTGGAAAATACTTCATTGTTTTCTTACGCTTGGTACTTTTACGGTTGGATAATACTACATATTATAACAGAGGAATTACGATTATTAATATTGTGGTTAGCTATAAAATTTCAATTTATCAATGGTTTTGATGTTCTACAAACTACCTATTTCGATATTGTAGTATGTCTGCCAATTGTGCAGTATAATATGTTAATGCTACTTATTGGTCGTGCTATTAAGGAAATCAACAATGATATCACATCGATAAGAAAATGGAAATTATATCGAGCCAAATGGAAAGAGCTTAAGAATAGAGCTCAACAAATAACACATTCTGTGTTCGATATTTCAATTGTCATGTTTGTAGCTTTTTCAATGTGTGAGATAATTTGCTTTGGCTACTCTATTCCTTATTTTTCCAAAGTAAATAAAATCAATCTTATAATTTGTTTTGTCATTACCTGTATACGATTGGGATTTTGCATAGAACTTTTTCGGGTTGTTCATATATGTAAAATAGAGGTAATTTATCGTACTATATTATATCTTGTATAAACTTATTTAAAACTTTATTTTAAAATGTATTCTTTTCTAATAGATTAATAGAACTCAAACTATACTCAATGATATGAAGACTAATTCTTTGTTGGATTTAAAAGAAGTGAAGATTATGAAAAAATGTGTAAAATAAAATAACATTATTTTAAATATTTTTTAGGTGCAATTTTCTTCTTTATACATGTTGCACGCAAGATTTCATTTAGTTCCATGTGGTGTTTTTGAATTATCTTTTAGGACTTTGTTGGCAGTAAGTTAAAATTATTGACCTAGTTTAAAATTGTAGCCCTTTGCTAACATATATATCGCCAATGATTTCCTAAAAATTATATTTATTCAATTTAACTATGTTATATTTAAGTTTTTAAAATTATCATCAAATAACTAACTATGCTTTAAAATTTAACTGAATAACAGTCAACTTTAAGCACAATCAATGATAATATTTACTCTCCATATAATTTTATTTTATATAGATATTTAGTATGACGATTGCTTTTCTGGCTTTTCAAATTCAAATCAAGATTGGATAGCTTCAATTTTGCTGAAAAATATATTATTTGAACAAACGTCATATTATTGATAAAATTTAAGCTTAATCATATTTTTTTTAAATAATGACAATTGAATATTGATGAATGAACTTAATTATAATTAATTAAATGTAACTATTAACATAACAAATATAATATATTTTATAAATGACTACTATATTGAAATAAAGACAATCGCATTTTTTTCTCGCCTTTTTATGTTTGTATAAGTTAATTGATAAATTCTAAGGGAGGTCACAAATTTATATATTTTAAAATAATATTGTTTCTTTATTAATTTATCAGACATTTTTTAAATTTTCATATATTATTTATAAGTTTGTTAGATGATATTTAAAATATTTGTAATATTATGTAATGAGTTTGAATAGTTTTTTAACTTAAAAACAGATTTCAAACAAACATTTTTACATTTTTTGGACAGGTACAATAAAATAAATAAAAATTATGACAATTTAAGAGAATTCAAAAAATTACCATGCTATCTTATTTTATCTAATCAAAAAATGTAAAAAAATAAAATTAGTAAAAACAATCATAAAACCAAATATATTAATTTCTATTGCAATTAATATTATATTATATTTTTATTTTATTTTTCTTTAAATTGGTTAAGAGGCAATCGAAGTTTAAGCTTTAATAAATTAAAAAAATAATAGAAAATTTAAATAAATTTCATTTTGAATAATATTTGGGAAATGTATTTGAGAAATATTATCTATTTGATTTTTATTACAACTTTTTGTATAATCCTTAACAATCCTTGACCTGGTGCCCATCCTTTTTACAGGAGAAGCACCCCTTGGATTTGTCCGAGCCCTTGCAGGCCTGCGCCACGTGTCCGTGCTCCAGGCACCTGTAACACCTCAGACTCTCGTCTACAAGGATCCTTAGCCGACAGGTGACCCATCTCTCAGGCCGCACATTACTCCCTTGAACCCGAGGACCGCCTAGCGCTCAGGTGGATGACCATGCTCCGGTGGCGTACTCGCCAGGTCCTCATAGGACCCGATCGGCTGGACAGGTGGGTGGACCGGACTCACGGGGAGATAACTTATCGTCTGACCCAAGTGATGTCCGGCTACGGCTGATTTAACGAGTACTTACACCGTATTCGTAAAGCAGCCGCGCCGATGTGCGACCACTGTTCGGATCGCCCGGGAGAGGCTGATAGCGCTCTGCACACCCTCTTCCGGTGAGAGGCGTGGGCCCAGGAGCGGGACTCTTTGGAGTCTCGACTAGGGTGCACGTTCCGAGTCGAGTCCATGGTGGACCTGATGTTGAGGAGTCGGGAGGCGTGGAGACTCGTCCAAGCGTTCGCCGAATCCGTCTTATTAAAGAAGGAGGAAGCGGAACGCCTGAGACAGAGGCAGCCACGCCGCCCGGCACAGGAGGATCTGAGGCGCTGGTTTAGGCCGGTGCCTTAGGTTCTTGTTCTTGTTTTTTGTGTATTTGTTTGTGAGTTATTTTGCCAATCCTCTCTAACGGTTCCCACTGCGGGATCCGGTTAACGAGAGGGGGCCACACCACGTTGCGAATTAGCTCTTGATTAATTTCGGGCTGATTCGCAACGTGGTGGTGTGAACTATTAAGATGGCGTGGGCCACCCTGAAGTAATGCCTCACGGCAGTTCCAGGGCGGCCCACAATAATGCCGGTCGTTTAAAAAAAAGGTGACCCATCTCACACGGATACGTGCGAGACCTGCAAGGCAGAGGGCCAGCCTTGTAGGCATATCCACCCTAACGTACCGCCCTTTGCCGCCGGAGTTCCCACGGACCACCACTGGCCCGATTTCCAGCGGTACCTTGTCGTCTGGACGGCGGAGAGCGTCCAGTAGTGCACTCTGCACGTCGCCCTCCTCCGTCCATTACTCCACGTCGAGGAGCATGACAGACACGGTCATCACCGGACGGTGGACCCGCACGTCATGCTCCTTCAGGGCGACCTTCAGGCTGTCAGCCTGGGCGCCTGAGCCCCGGACCTCCGGACGGCTTCCGTTCAGGTCCTCCTGGTCCCCGCCAATTGGACCCCCAGGGCTTTGAGGTCAACAGCAGCCATTGCGATCTTAATGACCGCGGCGTACCGTTGATCCTCTCTGAGTGGTCCGATCATCACCGCCTCTGCCCTCAGGACTTTGGCCCGAAGCTGCGCGGCAGTCTCGGAATGATGGCGGTGGCTTGGCCTTGGGCCCCTCAGGGACCTCCATTTTGGGAGCCGTCGTCAACCGCTCCACTCCCTCCCGCTTCACCCCCTCTTGGCGTTGAACAGATCAACCCCTGTTAGGGGCACCAGCTTAGGATTTTTTGGCCAGGACCGGCGCAGGTGTTTTCCAATGTTATGGCGGGGGCGAATTGTTGGGAAGATCTCCTTGCGTTTGGGACTTTTTTTTCTTAAAACTTCCATAACTTTTTCAAAAATCAACAAATCAACATAATTTTTTTTTATACTAAAACTTTAGATATTCTCCTTTTATTCGATATAATTTTTTTTAAATTTAACACTTAACCTGCTCACTGGGGGGGGATTAAACATAGCAACTTTTTTACAAAAACTAACTTTTTCAACTTAATTTTTGAAAATGTTCCGGAAATACTGCGTTCTTTAAATATATACCAAATTAAAGTCTAAACTATAGTCTCCTATCGTGAGAAGAAATTTATATTCATGTTAATATTATTTTTTACTATGTGGTTCTTTTTGTGGCTACGATTTATTTTGCCAACCCTCACTAGATCTACTTTTTTCAACGATACGTCAAATGATTACAATTCGTATTTAGATTAAGTTATTACTCTTAAAAATTGAAAAAATATTCCTTATTCAAATAAAAAGTAGCTTAAACAGCTTTTTCTATACAAACAATTAAAATAATTAATTTCTAATATTCTTACAGTATTTATTGTCGAATTAGATTTGATATGATAAAAGTATTCAAGTACAAGAGTAAATAATTTTACTTTGTAATTTATTAATTTTTTAACTCTATTTTTGTGTGCTACTATCAGTCTATAATATTACAAATTTTTTTGTAACATGTTGTTATATAAATCATAAATTAAAAAAAAAAATGATTCTTAATTTCACTTGGATTTAACGATGAATTTTTACAATTATAATCAAATTTTATAATAAGCTCAATTGAGTAAATCTTTTTAACAACTTTTTTTTTATTGGGTTTTTTAGATATATAATAATTAAAATTAATTAATTTCTGAATATTATTATAATAATATAGACCCAACTATGCAACGTCCCCACTATGCCGCGACCCCACTGTGCTGGGTTTTTTAAATAACACCACCATTTACCTTTATATATATTACACTTATAAATCATAAAACTTCTAATCAGGATATAAATAAGGAAATAGGAAATCATGTAGCTTTTGGAATAGTCCATTCATTTTTTAAAATTAAACATTATATATAGATTTGCATCGAGCGTTTTTTATGATAGTGATTTTAATCACTGTCAGATATCATTATACTTGACTCAACTATGCTGCATCCCCACTATGCCGCGATTCCACTGTACTGGTTTTTTTTTAGTTATAATTCGTTTTTGATGTTAAAATTGTGTTATAATGTCATTTTCATTTTTGGTTGAAATTCGTATATTTTCGTTTAAATTCCAATATTTTAGTTTAAATTCGTATATTTTCGTTGAAATTAGAAAATTTTGTTTATTAATATATCTTATTGTAAAATTTTTTTTTTTTTTAGTTATATTACGATTTAGATGTTAAAATTGTATTTTAATGTTATTTTCATTTTTCGTTGTTATAAACTTTAAAGTAATTATTTAAATTTTATGAATTGTTGTTGATTTCTATAATCATATGTATTTGGAAAGTGGCCAGAGCACCCTAGCGATTACATTTTGTATAAAAAAATCAATACCAAGTATTTAGAGATAGTAATGTAGGTTAACATTTCTATTTCTTGTTAAATTTTTTACAAACTTAATATATGAAAATTCAACAATAGAATGTAATTTTGAGCTGTTATTTATTATATTTTTAGGTTAGTGTTTGGACAACATCACTGGAATAAGCATGTATAGCAGTGGTAGGTATTGAATAATGCAGTCATAAATTATATGAAGAATGAACATTGAATAAAGTAGAAATATTATAAACAGTACTTGTTTTATTTCTAATTTTAGAGGAACTATTAGATGCAGGAATTATCTACAAAAATAAAAAAGAACAACTAGATGTTACAATAGGTGATGGAATGGAGTTACTTATTCGAGGAAATAAAGATAAAAAAAAGAAACCACAATCAAGTAGCTCTTACAATTCTTCTGGTATGCATCATAGTAGCACTGATGAAAATTGTCAAATTAGAGATAAATATGAATATGAATCAAGAAGGTAGGATAATTGTTGACGATGATATTAAAATATTATTTTAATTACTAAACTATTAATAATTAAAAAGTTTATAAAATATTGCTTAAAAAATAAAATGAACCTACAACATTCGTTCACTAATAAAAATGTGTGTAACTGAATCAACATCAAAAAAAATTAATTTTAATAAAAACATTTTTTTATTTCTATGTAGTACAAAATCTTACGGGAGCCATGATCATGATCCATACGACAGTGAAAGTCACAAAAAGAGTAAACGTAGCTTGCATAGTACTGATGATAAAATATATTTAAAAGTAGAACCTATTCAGACTGATCTACGTGGTATGCAAAATCTGACTAAGTTAACTATTACTACTAAGTATATGTATATTAATTTTATTATTTTTGATATAGAAGAAAATATAGAGAATTATGAATTAGCTGGACAAGAAATAATTGAAGAAGAAATGTATAAAGAACAAGATCCGGGTGAGGTAGTAGAAGATGTTTTCGAGGAAGAAGAATATCCGGAAGATTGTTTTCCTCCAAACTGTTATAAGAAATTTCCTTTTTTAGCCGGTGATGATGATATGCCTTTTTGGTTGGGATGGGCACAGCTTCGGTTAAAAACATTTCAATTAATCGAAAATAAATATTTTGAAACCGCTGTTATTACTATGATATTACTTAGTAGTCTTGCTTTGGTAATAATATTATATATTATACTTCTAGTATTAGATTTATAATATGGTTATAAAAAAAAATTACTTAGAACAATTTATTCATTACTATTATTTTTATTAATTATTTTGTAATCATGATTTATATCTTATTATTTAACATAACTTTGAAATTATCTAATGTTTAATTATTTTATGTATTTTATTAATATTTTTTTAATCTGTTATTTTCAGGCCTTGGAAGATGTCAACTTACAACATAGACCCGTTTTACAAGATATATTGTACTATATGGATAGGATATTTACTGTAATTTTTTTTTTAGAGATGTTAATTAAATGGTTGGCTTTGGGTTTCCGCAATTATTTTACAAACGCATGGTGCTGGCTCGACTTCATAATTGTTATGGTAAAAATTTATTCAATAAATTTGTGTTATACTCTATGTAATAGAAACAAAGTGTTATAAAAAATTTCGAAACTTTTTGAACAATTTTGATTGAAGTGTATCTAAAAACATTAAAAATTATGTGTATGATACTTAAAAATAATTCAGTTTAAGTAAGCATTAGACACGAGACTATTTTATTTGAAAATTTTTGTAATAATACTATATAAATTCAAACATTTTTTAACCAATTAAAATTAAAAAAAATTTGTGAATGTTGTTTTAGCAACTATTTTCTTTATATTACAATTATACCATGATGTAAATCAATTAATTGTCTTATAGTTGTCTTTAGTAAATTTGGCAACAATATGGGCAGGGGCTGCAGATATACCTGCATTCAGACCAATGAGGACTCTTCGGGCTTTAAGGCCTTTGAGAGCGGTATCTCGTTGGGAGGGTATGAGAGTAAGTACGAGCCGGTGACGGTATATTTGTGATTTGGAACTCACTGTCTGTGTTTTTTTTCCATTGTATAAATACTGCGTTTGTTTCATATCTTTCTATTGGCTAGGGAATCGATATAATAAAGGACTATTATATTCATAATTTGTTTACTGCAGCAGCTACATTAAGATAATTTTGTAATTGCAGTGTTTTTGCCTGAGGTGTTTTGTGTGCGTATGAGTGTGCATTTTTTTATGATATTATAGTATAGTAACAGGAATTGCGCTCTTCTTGCTATAAAATTCTTTATTTAAAATTACATTTTTAATTTTTTGTTATTGAAGAAATAGATAACTTAAACCTAAGGAAAGTAATAGAAATACTGAAAACAACATAATAATAATAATAATAATATATTTATATTTAATGTTTTCTCTAAAAGCTATTGCTTTAATAATAATATAATATTATACATGCATACATATACATTATACATAAAACACGCGCCTATATTTTGTAGAATATAATGTGGGTTGCACCGCTAACAAAAGTTACCAATGAATTTTGATTTACGTATACATACTTACTTTTATTATTTGTGCATTTTCTTTGGCTCTACTTTACACAGGTATCCTTGATAAATTTTGTTGCTGCCTTGTTGGGAGCGAGTGGAATTCAAGCTTTCAAAACCATGCGAACTTTAAGAGCTTTGCGACCACTGCGAGCTATGGCTAGAATGCAGGGCATGAGGGTACGTGGTCAAAAAAAAAAAAAAAACAAAGAGATTTTTTATTCCATTTTATATTTATAAATACCTACTATATCCGTAATTATAGTATCAATACTAGTTGAAAAGCTAAATTTTTAGATAATTATTTTGTTCTTTTGAAAATTATAATTGGTAAATAATTAAAATTTATTAGATCGCCTAATTCGTAGATCAAGCCAATTTACAATTTTTCATTTAAAATTAAGATGACCTATGTTGGTCTTACTTTAGATATATTTAATGTTGTAACATATGAACTCATTCGTTTAACATTTGAGTTAAACTGCAATCATGCATTGCAATTAAAGTCTGCGCATGATTAAAAAAATCAAATAATTTGCTTTTAAATTAATGGTCATAATTATCTACTGTTATTTAAATATAACAATATATTTTCTATAATTTATATTTAATAAATGTTACTAATTTTTTTACAAAGATTTTTCTGCTATGAGCTTGCGCAATAAACAAGTGTACTGTACAACATAATTCTTCTTTAAAAATCAAAATTATCTTGATATAACCAGTACTGCATTTAAAAATTACACTGTCTAGGATGCCACATTTTGACACTCATTAAAAAATATTAATGATCCATCGGTTTTTTTGCTAATGGTTTAAAAAGATAGTATCAATGCATAAAATTTACAATTTTAACGATAGCATAAAATGCAAATTTTCTTCAGTGCTATTCCAAAATCATTTATCAGGGGCAAGTGCACCAAACGTTTACCTTCTTAAATGCGGTCCTGTACGTAATATAATTACCTTATTTAAAAGTATATTTTTATACACCAGTTAATAAAAACTTTTTACATTGTGTTTAAGACAGTGTCGTCATGTTTTATGTTTAGGATCTAGCTTATAAATTTCAGTTGGCTTAGAGGCCCACAACTTATGGACCTCAATATTGAAAAATATTAAAGGGTAGAATAGAGTAAACCAAGCCAAAACTGGGTTGAAATATTAGTATTTAAATTAAACATTTTTTTTATTAATATGTATGTGTTGTGTCTACATAAATATAGAGAAAAGATAGATTTGTTGTACAGTACTGGAATGATTATGCATGTTTTTAAGGGAATGTGTTTAGAATAGCATGTTTTTTTTACTTAACTTTTGTTAGTTAAACATTATTTGTTATAAATATTTATTCATTATTTGAAAAATAATCTCGATTTTTAAATAATTTATACAGGTAGTAGTCAATGCATTAGTACAAGCTATTCCAAGTATTTTTAATGTCCTTTTGGTGTGTTTGATATTTTGGTTAATATTTGCTATAATGGGAGTGCAGCTATTTTCAGGAAAATATTATAAAGTAGGTTAAAATTGTTTAATTTTGTACATAATTTGTTTTAAGTATTTTAGAGAGTATTAAATACCATTATATATAATTTAAATAGTGTGTCGATGCAGATGGTAATACTCTTAGCCATGAAATCATTCCTGATAAAAATGTTTGTCTTGCTGAAAACTATACATGGAGAAATTCGAAAATGAACTTTGATCACGTTGGCAACGCATACCTTTGTCTTTTTCAAGTAGCGACATTTAATGGTTGGATGGAAATTATGAGAGATGCAGTCGATTCGAGAGATGTATTTAATTTTAACCATTTTAAACATAAATTTTAATAAGCCTGACTTATTCAATTTTTAGAGTTATGATAAACAACCTATTCGTGAGATCAACAACTATATGTACTTCTATTTTGTATTTTTTATCATTTTTGGTTCATTTTTTACTCTAAATCTATTTATTGGTGTGATAATTGATAATTTCAACGAACAAAAGAAAAAAACAGGTAATTTTTGATTATAGAATAAATTAACACACATAATAAAATTATGATAATTATATATGTTAAAGGTGCATCTCTCGAAATGTTTATGACAGAGGATCAAAAAAAATATTATAACGCCATGAAAAAAATGAGCTCTAAGAAACCTTTAAAAGCTATACCAAGACCTAGGGTAATCCTATTTTTAATTTAAATTTTTTTAAACTCTAGCCTCTGTAAAGTATATTAAGGTTTTGACTTATTTTTCATAATAATTATAATTGCTGATTAGCGCCAATGTTTTTTTCATACTATTAATATAATATTTCTTTAGTAAATTTTGCCTAGTGTAAATAAATGTATCTAATTTTGTTTAATAAATGAATGATGTATTTATAATTTTCAATATATTTTAGTGGCGGCCACAATCAATCGTCTTCCAAATAGTTACAGATAAAAAGTTTGATATGCTTATAATGTTGTTCATTGGACTCAACATGCTAATAATGACATTAGATCATTATCACCAACCTAAAGAATTTACAAATATTTTAGATCTACTAAATCAAATTTTTATTGTAATATTTTCGGGAGAATGTTTGCTAAAAATATTTGCATTACGATATTACTATTTCAAAGAACCTTGGAATTTGTTTGATTTTGTTGTAGTCATACTTTCACTTGCAGGTATAGTTAATTCAATCACTAAATTTTTATTTATTTAATAAATAGACTCATTTATGAAAAATAGGTTTGATTTTAAGTGATTTCATTTCTAAATACTTTGTTTCACCTACTCTTTTGAGAGTAGTGCGAGTGGCCAAAGTTGGCAGAGTATTGCGTCTAGTAAAAGGAGCGAAAGGTATACGTACTTTGTTGTTTGCACTAGCTATGTCATTACCAGCTTTGTTCAACATTTGTCTACTTTTGTTCTTGGTAATGTTCATATTCGCAATTTTCGGAATGTCATTTTTTATGAACGTAGCAAGTAATGGAGGTTTAGACGAAGATTATAATTTTCGGACATTTGGTCAATCAATGATTCTTTTGTTTATGGTAAGAGTACTGTGTACGTATTAAACATTTTTAAAAATATGGTTATATTTGTAATAGTTGTCTACATCTTCTGGCTGGGATGCTGTTCTCGATGGAATCACTAATGAAGATAACTGCATTAAACCTAACTTAGAGATGGGCATCACGGGTAGTTGTGGTAACAAGACTGTAGGAACTGCATTTTTACTTTCATACTTGGTAATTAATTTCTTGATTGTTATCAATATGTATATTGCGGTAATTTTGGAGAATTATTCACAAGCAACGGAAGATGTACAAGAAGGTTTGACAGATGATGATTATGATATGTATTATGAAATTTGGCAACATTTTGATCCAGATGGTACTCGATACATCCGATACGACCAATTGACTGACTTTTTGGATATACTTGAACCACCTCTCAAAATTCACAAACCGAATAAGTATAAAATCGTTTCCATGGATATCCCAATATGCAAAGGAGACTTGATATATTGTGTTGATATACTTGATGCATTAACAAAAGACTTTTTCGCACGTAAAGGAAATCCCATCATTGAAACCGTCGCAGAGATTAGTGAGATTCAAACAAGACCAGAAGAAGCCAAATATGAACCGATTAGTTCTACATTATGGCGCATGCGTGAGGTGTATTGCGCAATGACCATACAAAAAGCTTGGCTTAGATTCATTCGAGAAAAACGTCAGAAGCAAAACTTAGATGAAACTGCATCACCAGATGGACGCGATACTGCAGTTATGGTGGAAAGCGACGGATTCGTCACTAAAAATGGCCATAAGGTAGTAATTCATTCTAGGTCGTCATCCAAAAGCTCAAAACTAGCCGATGTTTAAAGGGGCCAATCATTTAAAAATAAATTTTTGTATATTATTGTTGTTATTAGTTTATATATTTATTGAGACGAATGCTTCTGTTGTAGCGTGGCTTTAATCACTCTACTATTTTAACACGTCATAATTTAACTTTGTTTATTGCATTATAAAAATATTATTAATTATAATTGCTGTGATATAAAACATACAATGCATATGTTTTGTAGATTTTAAGATACAAAAAAAGAGCTTTAGAAATTATTTTAACATGGTAAAATTATTAAAACTATGTTCAAAAATGCAATGTGGTACACGTTTTATATTTTTACAAATCAATTAATATTTATAATAATTCTTTTATGACGTAATTCCCTTTTCTAATATTTGGCGTTATATTTTAATTATTTTTATAGACTATAATTTGATTTATTTTTTTATAGTTTAATTAATTTTATGTGTAAGCATTGTGTATGATTTCATATACAAAAAAAATTCACTATATAATTATTGTTATAGATAAGTTACTATTGACATCATGTATTTAATTAAAAATACATTAAATAATTAATATTTCTTATATTATTTTTATATTTTTTGGTGTTATGTTATTTTACCTAAAGAATCATGTGTTTTGATAAAATTTATCGTTTGATAGCTCGTATGTCATAATTATTTTTTAATAGCTGAAAAACACTTTTAACAAAAAAACGATTGTTTGATTATAACAAATAAATTAGATTAAAAGTATTTTTAATTAGCAATATTATTATTTCAACACTTTCATCAATAATATTTAAACCAAATCCAACCTTAATTATTAATGAATATCTTTTATTTAACGGATAAAGGAATATATTAAAAAAAGGATAACACAATTAACGTTTTAATAATTTTTTTAATAAAGAGACAAATATATTATTGCAAAATATGAAATGTACAATATTAAAAAATATTTGTAGGCAATATTATCCGACAATTTTCGTACCGTCAAAGAGGGAAGGACATGCCGGTGCGAAAAACGTCGCATAAATATTTTCATTTACATTATTCAGCATTGTCCTTGTCTCAGATACAGCAGATAATAATGTAATAAAATTAATATAGTTATTATTTAGTAAAAATTACCCCAAAACAATTATAATAACATAAAACGTAGGCGTAAACATAATAATTTCATAATAACCCTTAAGCAAAAATTATAAATAATTGGTTATTTATACAATACTTAATATCATCCATCAATTAACAATATTTTACAACATTACCTAAATCTTAAAACTTTCAACAATTTTCAAAAATGTAACAAAACGATTTTTCAGTAGTTTTCAATCATTAGTACAAATTCTGAAGTCTAAGAATAACCGTGCAGATTATAAGACGCGTTAAATATTTTACTGTTAATTAATAAAAATGCTCCATTACAAAATTTGTGCGTTCAGTAATTGGGTTAAGCGTTTATTATTATTACTATTTTTAATTAGAAAATAATCACATTAGGTTTATACGCTTTCTTTCCTCATATTTGTTTAAAAAAAAAGATACCAAAATAAAAGCCTTTAAAGCTAAAGCGACGTCATTTTGGTAACTCTATAAACACTAAATAATGGATTTACAACTAAAAACTTAACAGATATTATAACAAAATTTCTCTACTAAGTAATTACTAGCATAGAATTTTTCAATTTAATTTCAAATAAATTAAATTTTAAAACTTTTTTATCATTTATTTTTAATTTGGTGTTATTTTGATCCTTTCTTTGATGAAAATATTTCAATTTTTAGGATCAGACAAAAGCAAAATGATATCTAGCAAAAACAAAATGTCTGCAATTGTTTTATAATATTATTATATAATCAGCATTTATTACATATATTTAATTTTATATATAAATTCGTTTGTTATATACATAAATTTACTATATATTGAAAAAGTGTTCTCCAATGAACGAAAATATATAACAGTATAAATATGAACAAAAAAGAGGCGAAAACAAACAAAACGTTAATCACAGATACGACGTATATAGAAATATCACAGATAATTTTTATTTTTTAAACGACGTATTTCTTTTGTTATATTTTACTATTATTTAAAATTTTGTTAAATGAAGACTCGGTCATTAGAAGCCTTGATTTCTTATTCATTACGTTTTTAGCCTAAGATTCTTTATACAGTAACTAGATTCTTTGTAACTATTATAATTTGTTACATTTAATTTAGATGATTAATGGTAATCACTTATATTTATTTACTGAATAACATGTAAACACTGCGGTTTATTATTTAAAAAGCGAGATCAACTTACATACTAAATAATTTTTTAAACAATGTTATCATTTAAGTTACCAAAATGACGTTTAGTTATGTATAAATAGTTATATATAAATATTATATATGATGAATGTGGATAACATACTTCAGCGAGTATAGCTTAAGCTCTTCAATGTCTTATTCACAGACCTAAAAAAAAAAAAAAAAAAAACAACCATACAATTTTGTAAGTGCACATGTGATATAACTATATGCAATTTATAACACTCGAAAAATCTTTACTTTCTCATATGGTGTGAAAACGTTACAAAGCTATTAAAGTTTCAATTAACATTTCACGTAGGAAGATCATTATCAAACAATATTTTCAATGGAAATTTAATATAGTAATGATACTATACTACAAAGATTTAGATTCCACAAAGTTCTTCAGATTTTGTCAATATTTGAGTGATATATTACCACAACACCGTAAAAAATTATTTGTTTTGACAAGTTTTATATGATCCATAGAATAGTTTATAAAATGTGTTAGTAATTTTGTATGGTTTTTTTAAAGTATGAATATATAAATTGCGTGAGATGGCAAGTTAAAAATTAATGTCATAATTGACTGAAGTAGCTTTAAAATCCAGGAAGAAATATTTTGCTATGACCTAAAAAAAATTATTATTGAATTAATATATTTTTACGAAAGAAAACTATGCTTTTTAATAACTAAAAATTTAAACTTAAATAATAAACAAATCAATTTTATTGTAGTTGAGTATAAGAAAATAGTAGTTAATTTAAAACTAATTTTTAGGTATATTTTTAAGTTCAGTTATTTTTTTTATTGGATTTATTTCAATTGATTTTGAACTTGAATTAATCCAAAATTTGATTTCAAAATAATATTTAAGTATATGTCATAACTTAAATCCATGAAATACTTCTCAAAATAACATCAAATATGATCATTTATGTTTAAAGCACTCGTTTATCCATAATTAGTTATTTAACGAAAATTATTATTTTTTTTGAGTATGATTTACTTATCAAAATCCACGTTGGATGTTTCTTTATATCCTTTTACATTAACTTGGTGATTTCCTATCGAATTTTCAATTTTAGATTTTTTATTCTTTTGTTTGACATCTCCTATACAATATATTTTTTATAAATAAAATGTATTGTTGCTGTAAATTGTACTCAAGTTTACCTGGTATTGTAAATTCCATACCATCCCCAATGGTCACTTCAACCTGATCTTTTTTATCTTTGTATGGCATTAAACTATCAATAATTACTTCATCGGTGTTTAAATCAATTTCACGGTTTTGACCTTGTATAACAAAAATATTTTGCAAGTGAAAAATCATAAAATTATATAATGAATTATAACAATTGCATCCATAAATATTAATTTATTTTTGTTATTTAAATAATAATTATTTAATATATTAATAATAATTATTATTTAAATGACAAGAATAAATTTATTCTTTGTTTATAGTTCTTGGATGTTTTATTTTATAATTTGGATGAAAAAATGTATTCAAAAGTTGTTTTAAGTTTAACAATAAAGTTTGTTACACAATTGTGATAAAAAAAAATTCTTAAAAATTATATATTATATTGATAATGCAATTGTCAAAATGTTATTTTAAATACTTTATTTATTTTATAGGAAAAAGGAATTAACCTTGGTCCCAACTGTAGTTTAGGCAGGCCTCACCTGGCGCCTGAACTGATATTTGATTGGTAAGTTTAGCTCTTAACGCCTTTAAAAAATTCATTATATGATTTTTCACCCATTTATTGAATCTACCAATTCTTTCAAATGCTTCAGCAATTTTATTAGTATCACTATCGGCAGCTGGCACAGACAAGTTTGATGAACCAAAATTACTCAACAGTAATGCCAAAAAAAGATTTAGTACCTATATTAAATAAGTTAATTAAACTTCTATCTTATTTTAAGAAGCAGATTTTGTTTGATGGTTATGTAGAATTATTATTTTTCATTAAAATAATTTTTTTGAGAAAGAAATAAAACATTTTTGAGATACTTATAGCCATTAATATTTGTAAAGTAATTTCATATGATTAATTAAAAATTTAACTAAAAGTTGTATAATACTATTTTGATAAAACATCAGTAAAATTAATTTGAATCAGTAAAAAAAGTAGTTAATCATCCGTCATTAATCTATACTTATATTTGCTACTAAATTTTATTTTGCTTTTATATAAAATATTTTAAAATTTATAAACACTTTTCTATTAGACTTACTACAAGATTGCCGATAACAACAGTAGCTAAGAAAAATGGAATACAAGTAGGTTCACAAACAACTAAACAATCCCACATTGATTCAATCCATTCACCACATAAAACCCTAAATACTATCATAAATGAGTGCAGAAAGTCAGTAAAATTCCATCTAGGAAGTTCTTGATCTTTAAATAGGTAAACTTTTTCTAAAATAAAAATGAATATAAATTTTTTGTCTTAAATAAAAATAAAAAATAATATACGTTAATAAATTAAATTTCATACCTGTATAGTTTTTGCCAAACAGTTGCATGCCCATAACGGCAAATATGAATATAATAATACACAATACAAATGTTAGATTACCTAATGCACCAATAGTTCGACCCATGATTGATATCAATAAATTTAAAGTAGGCCACGATTTTGCCAATTTGAAAACTCGAAGCTAATTGGGAAGTAGAAATTTTGTATTAATTTTAGTCATACGTTTCAATACACTTAATTATTGATATTTTTTATTTACCAAACGAAATGATCGCAATACTGATAAACCTTGATATCCAGCTGAAAGATATTCTACAATAGATAACACAACAATAATAAAATCAAAAATATTCCAGCCCATTTGGAAGTAATACTTTGGACTCATAGCCATCAGTTTAAGAACTGCTTCCACGCCAAATGTTGCACTAAAAAACTTAAGCAATAATATTTTATTATTGGTTAGAAAATATGATTTTTAGATACTAAGTTTACTTACAAGATTAGCCTTGTTCTGTATATAGTCCATATATGGGTCCATTTTATAGTGATCAAGAGCCATGAACAACGTATTAACAACAATGCACAATGTGATGTATAGTTCAACAAACGGGTCAAAAACTAAGAATGCAAGACCTTTTTGAAATTTCAGCCATGGCCAGCAACAGTCCCAAATACAAAATGTATCAATGAACTTTAAAAGCCACATTTGAAATTTTTCCCGAAATGTTGGCTCGTCGTCTTCCTCTTCGTCATCTTCATCACACACAGCATCCTCATCTGTTGGAAACACGTATACTGTGGATACTACCCCATGCAACCAAGAGAGTAGCCACCAATATTACGATTAATATAACATCTATCTCAGCACCTTTTATTTTAAGTTATTATTTATTTTATAACTATTAGAATAATAGTTCAAATATATTAGTTTTTTTAGATATGCAAGAGTCTGTAAAATGAATACCTTAAGAAACCTATAATGGAAACAATAACTCCATATTATTTAAAGACTGCTACATATATTTCTAAAACTCATTATATTTTATGAGGCACTAATACATTTTACTTCCTTTAATTTTTTTAAATATTTTCTTATAAGTAAATAGCTATGAAATAATATAATTTTTATACTAAAATAAAAAATTTTGTTGAAAGTTAATTCAATATAATATACTTATTCAATAAATAAAACAAAAATTAATATGAATTTTTAAATAAAAGTTTGTTTTTCATTTAAATAAAATAAAATTAGTCAAAACTCAAATAAATATACTTTTCATACTTATTGTGATTAATATATAAAATTTCTAATAGTATTACTTATTACATTTATATGGATTATTTATTGTAAAATAAAAAACACTAGTTTTCAAATATTAAACACATTTTATTCTAAATTATTTAAGAATACGAAATCTGTAAGGAATTTGATTAAAAAATGACAATAGATTTTTAAGAACATAAAGGAGAATTAAGTTATTCATATTTTATATAAATAAAATACTTAACAACTTTAATTTAGAATTTGTTGATATTTCAATTGATGTAATGTAGATTTAATTATCACTGGTACACTTATATTTTATTTAAAATCTTAACAATCTTAGTTTTTAATTTTTCACTATCCATTAAAAGCAAAAAATAAATGTACACTTTTCTTTTTTTTTGGTTATCATATAATTAATATGTTAATAACGTTTAACAAAATACATTTATTTATATAAAAATATTGTCTACCAACAAAACACAATCTACATAAGTGACTAACAACACTAAGAGGAAGAATAGAATATTTAAATGTATTGTTACACAATGAATCATGAATGTTTACTAGTTGAAGCAGGTCATTAGAAAACTAATTATGATTATACTATAGGTCATTTGGATGATAAAAGAAAAATTTAATAAGTTCAAAATATTCCAACTAGCAAAATTTCATTGAACAATGTGTGTGCTTACAGATTCAATAGTAATACAATACTAAAACAAAACAGAAAAATTGATGTCAAATCATAACTACCAAGAAAATATTGTCAAACATTTATAAGGTAAGCAACGTGTATGGAAATAAATGCTGTTTTAAATTTATATATAAATGCCGATGTTAGGGAAGTATTTTTTTTCTATCGTTTAAATAATGACTAATACAATTTTCTATTTCACCAAATTGCAGACTCTTGGACAGTAATTTCTAATAGATAATTTTTAAGAAGAGATAAAATGTTCATGCATATCTGATAAAAGTACTGAGTGAGCAAGTTGTCATATTAATAGTAATACTAGAAGAATTAATTGCTAATAGTTCTATTGTTTTCCTTGTGTTTTAAAATGAAATAATTTGAAGTAAATAACTGAGTTACTCGTAAGACATAAGGTATGCGCAAACTACATGCAAGTTTATACAGGAACATAGCAAGTATTTGTTTTCAGAGCATAATTCAGTTTTTAAATACAAATAACGCACACAGTTAATTTATACAGTTTGTTTTTTTAAATATTAATATATATTAAAAAACAAAAAATTTAGGTTATGCATCAAATTTTTTAATACATACCTGCTCTTTCACTCGCTCTGCTTTGACGGCCAGCTGCCTGTTCAATAATGTCGTTTAGTACCATTACATCTAGAATTTAATTATAATTTAATTTGAGAAATTAGTACTTTCAAATCTTATAAAGCTGCATAGTTTAATTTATGATTTTCGTTGTTGTTTACAAACCTCTCATATCCACGACAGCATGTTTTTGTTGCTCGTTGTAGCTACATTCATCTAACTGTTGTTTGGATTTGTTTATTGATCCTGTATCTAATTCATCCTATAAAGTAATTAAGCATTTTTATTTATATGTTCAAAATATACACATGAATTATTTTTTAATTAGATTTACCTCCTTGTAGAATTTTTGTTCCCCAGAATTTTGGTAATTTTTAGCTGATCTTGACCTAAGTTGGCTCTCTTTTGTTGGAACTGGTTGTTTTATCAAATCTGCATGTGATGTATAGGTGATTCGAGAAGTGTGAGATGTATAACTATTGTGTCTTGATCCAAAATTTGCATAAGATAAAGGGATTAAAATAGCACCATTTTCTTCACTCATAGGTGTAACTGCATTGGAATCATCTGCGTAAGGTAAATGTTCCTGTAAAAAAAAAAAAAAGAAGTCTGTTTTAATATAATTTTATAAGTTAATTAAAACAAATATTTTATTATATGTTAATGGGAAATTAGATTAAAAGGTTTTTAAATTATTACCTCAGCGTCAAGTAAAGTATTTAATACCAAAGGTTTGGTGTCTACTCCTGAAAATCTTGGTCTTGTATTTCGGTGACTTAACTGATGACTTCCCCGTGATGCTCTTCTTAGATTAAATGGTGAACCAGGTAAACTTAAACTAGTCTACATAGATATAGCAATAATATATAATTATTATATATAGAAATAAATTAATCTAAATTAAATTTTTACATTTCTTGTTTTCCCGTTTTGCTTTTCCACACTTGCAGTTTCTGATTGTTTGTCTTGACTTGTAATAGATGCTGATCTTAAACTCATCTTTTCACGGTTGTTCTCATCTCCATGCATTTTATCTTGACCAGCATACATATCGTAACTTTGATATGAAAAGTCTGAAGGTGATTTTGGATGTTGGTTTATATTTCGAGCTCTTTCTGCTCTTTCTGTTGCTCTTTCTTCGTGAGCTTGTCTTCTTATTTCTCTGTCTTTAGCAGCTTGCTCCGCTTCCTTAAAATAAAAAATATTATATAATGAAAAAAAAAATTGTTTTTCAACTTACTCTTATAGCTTCTTCTTCAGCTGCCTCTTCTTCCTCTGCTTTTTTTTGTAACTCGTCATATGACATCGCTACAATAGCTAATATTAAATTGACAAGGTAAAATGAACCAAGAAAAATAATAACTATGAAAAAGAACATATGCCAAGGACCAGCTGCTCTTAGTACCTTTAAAAATAATAAAAACCGATTTGTAAGAAGCACAATTGATATAAGGGATTATATTTTTAAGACGTTAATATAACTATAAAATCATTATACATAGAAGAATCAGTATACCTGTTGGTATAAAGCTTCCCAATTGTCTTGTGTCATTAATCTGAAAGCCGATAGTAAAGCCCAAGGAAATGTATCGAAACTAGTGTACCCATAGTTTGGATTAGGACCAAACCCGGGTATGCATAAGTATCCAGGTTCGCACTGACTAAAAAATTTCAAGTAAAATAATTAGTGCTAGTTTATATTATTTTAAAGTTTAACCACGATTGTATCTTACCCAGCTCCTGTGCTATTACCACATAAAGGATATTCGCCATCCTCACCAATTTGCCAGTTTGCTATAAAAATAAATTATTTTTATAAATTCTAAAAAAACTTCTTAAGATTTACATACATTTATTCGATACGAAGTCAATCCAAGTTTCATCAGTCAAATTACCAGCTGAACCATCAGTCGGAAATTCCCTAATACATTTTTGTTTAAGAACACCCATGTATATTTGTAAACCCAATAACGCGAACACAGACAGTGAGAATATTGTTAATATTATGACATCCCTGAGGTTTTTTACGGATTCTATCACAGCTCCAACAATAGTTTTCAGTCCTAATTGTGTATAAAAATAAAGTTAGAATCTTAAAATAATCCAAAAATGATTGTTTATATTGGATAATAATTACCAGGCACAATGGCAACAGTTTTGAGCGCTCGGAGTACTCGAAATGTACGAAGAACAGCTAGATTTCCAAGCTCTATACCCATTGTAACGTAACTGAAAATTGATACTTTTAACTACACATGCTTATAAAAATCAATAACCTTTTTAAATAGTATATAATTTTTACTAATTAAAAGTATAATTTTATAAATTAGTTGTTCATAATCTATAATAAAATAACCTTTAACAAAAACTATGGCTAAGTACTAATAGAATAAAACGAATAAGTTACTATAAAATTGTAAATGACTAGATTAATTAAGTATTGTCTTCTAATATTCATAATAGCATATAAATCTAATATTTCAAATTGATCTATTTAATCTGACACACTATTAATGAACACAATTTTTTAACTCAAATATTTTTTATATAACAATTTTTTAATAGGTTTGGGAAAATACTTCTAAGATAACACAATATACAATAAAAAAAGTAAATAAATTCACCTGACATATTTTAATTGTATATGACAACATTTATATAATATTAATTAGACTTGAACAAGTTAAAAGATGCAAACATACATTTCCTATTGATCCTCTTTATTATACGTACTAACTCTTAGCATTGCTCCCCAGAATTATTCTAGTATTTTAAAGTATTTCGATTGTGGTAATAATTGCCCTCATAGAGGTATTTACTAATCTACTTCTACTACTCACGCTAATGCAATAACAATGAAGTCTAGCCAATTCCATGCATCTCTAAGATAGGTGAAGTGTTCTAATATGAAACCTCGGGCCATTACTTTCACAGCCGATTCAAATGTGTAGATGCCGGTAAATATTATTCTGGAAACGATTAGATTTTTATAAAACATAAAAATATAAAACAAAAAAGTCAATTATCCTAACACTACGTATACTTAATAACACTATCCTCAACATTTATTACAGAAGTCTCTAGCGATCTAGTAAATATAATATAAATAAGCTAATATCTAACGTAAATTATTAAATTTATGGATAAATATCATAATAATATAAATTCTAATAAACCTAAGGTTAAATAAAACTGGAAAATATATATCATATAGTATACAATATAACTTTACACATTTACTAATATTTTTTTAAGTATTTATAATTATTATGTATACGTAACAACAAATAAACGTAATTAGTATTTTAATAAATATATAATTTTAATTACAAAGAAATTCATAGTTAATTGTTTAAATGAACCTTATCGCTTTACTTACTCGGATGCTTCAATAGTTGGAGTGGGGGGCATTATCATGAAAACACAGTTTGTAAGTATAGTTGTGATGATTGTAACAGAAAATATTGGATGTACCAATATGTAAATGGCGACTCTTCGGATGGGGTTAAAAGGGTCTAGTACCCAAAGGCCATCAGTAGCGCTGAATCTGAAGATATCTTTTCCTTTGCTAATTACTACAAATGTCTGAGAAAAACATTATTTCTTACTAACTTATGTATTCACGTTTTGTCATTATTTTAATGACATTTTTAAACCAATAATATTCGTTAAGTTTTATTAATTAGAAGTATATACTTTTTGATTTTGATAGTAAGGGTCAATATCCTCTAGCGGAACGGACGCTAATTCGGATGGGAATGTACCAACCAGTCGCACTGGTAATGGCGCTCCCTGTTCCAGAGTGGCGTCCGGTTGGGGACCTTCATCTTCGTCCTCGTCTTCATACCGAATCTGTAATGGTTTAAAGATATATATATTTCATACATTTTTGAATGATTTAAATTTATGCCTTATTCATATTAAATTTCAATAAATCTAAAATTTACATTTCATTACTTGTGGCTAAAATTATCTATATTATATCAACGAACTAAAAACATCTTCATCCAAGATAGATGAGAGATTTTCTAAATACACATTTATAATTAAATATGCGATTTCAATTTTATTTCTGTGTTTAATTTTCAAAGTTTATGTATTGGTTTAAATTGCATAAATGAAACTTTTTAGAAATTAAAATGAAAAAATTATTAATATATATATAATGTTTTTAAGAATGATAAATAATGTTAAATAATAATTTTTTTCATAAAAGTGTACAGATTAAAATTTTGTCGAGCTTTTTAATAAAAGTGTTAAGTATCATTTGAGCTATCTTAAATGGATTTCTTTTGAATTAGAAATTGTTTTAGGAACCTTTGCTTAAATTAATAATAACCGTTTTAATGACTCATATTTTTTTTTTGTTAATTTTTTTCATGAGAAGAATTAGTTTTAGAGAACAAATATTTATTGTTTAATAAAATTTATTTATTTAAAATAATTCCATTTTAAATTAAATTAATAAAAAATATATCTTTATTTCTCTTTAATGTTTAAATGTTTAAAACTTATTCATTTAATTTCAACATTGTTCAGTATATTTTAACATTACTTATTTTAACATTAACATGGCAAAGACATACGGAAATACAATTAATTATTTTTATAAAGAGAATGAAATCGAAACAAATAATTTAATACATTATAGGTATTTATTAATCATAAAATTTTATATAATCTAATTGATTAACTATAATTTGTATTTTGAAATTATACATACATACATATATATATATATATATATATACAGATAATATGTTTGTATTTACTAATAGAAACAATGAAAATTTTGAATTCCATTATGATTTAATAAAATTAAAAAGTTCAAAAATTCAAGAATTTTAAAAGATCCAACGAATATTTTATTACTTAATTTAAATATAATTACTGCAGTATTAGACTACGTTAATAACACATTTTACATTTAAAATTAAAAATACAAGTAAAATATTAATTTAATACTAAAAAGTAAAAAAAATATTTAACTCAAAAGCATTGATAATGGTAACACTGTTCTGGAAATATTTATCCACAAATTTTTAGTAATTTTTAGTTTTAAATTAATATTTTAAATAAATTTTTCATCTCTATTTTTAATAAAAATTAAAAAAAAAATTGTTTATAATTTTTAAATAGATATTTTCTAATATCATTTCTTACGTTGATAACAACTTTAGGATAATAATTTATTGAGTTACAAACATTTTAATACATATAAAGAGTAAGTAATGTGGGTAGGTGTATAATTCGCAGTAGTGCATATTTAAAACGAATAGTTCGCCCACACTATATACTCATTATATGTATTAAATTGCTTGTAACTCAATAAGTGTGTATTCTTAAGTTGTTATCAATCCATCAAAATTGTGTATGGGAAAAAACCAAAAATGGCTATTTTGAAATAAAAAAAAAGTTTTAATTGTTTTTTGTTTAAGAGAAATAATAATAATAAAAAAAAATGCTTTTAACATTGTCCAAAATTGTAATAATTACTTCAAAAAAAGTATTGCTAACTATCCGCTAAATTAAATGTTATTAGTTATAAGATATCAAAAATTTGTGGGACACCCTGTAATTATCTAAATTAGTCTCTATAACTACTGTTATAATTATTAACACACTTAATTTTTCTATGCTTAATAATATGTGCGTTATAGTATCTAAATATACATTAAGCTATATATTATTTTACTTATAATATAGCTATTGTTGAATAAATTGGGTACTGCATATTACTAACTAACCTATTTAATGGCATGCTATTATACATTGCTTTAATATTATAGCAAATAAAATGCTGTAATAATACTTTTTACGCATCAAAGTAAAATGTGTTTAATACATATCATATGATATCTATCCTAATGATGCCTAATTACATATATTTTAAATCTTCACATATGTTTAGCTTACATCTTTATTTTTATTTCTTTTCCATGGCACAGGCTAAGTCAATAAATAAATTAATATTAGTAATTGGGTTAATATTAGTAGATATGTAAACCGCTAGTGAAGTTTATAGTTTTTATAACTTAAGAAAATAAATTGATTATGAGATAAAAAATATATTGATTGCTTTAAAAATTAAAATTTAAAAATAGGAAAAAACGATCTTAGATTAAACGAAACTTAGATATGTATAACAATAAGCCATTATTTACCTCCCCTTCAGCTCTTTTTTCCTCAAGTTCTTTCTGTTTAGCATTTTCTTCAGCTATACGTTGCTCAATGGCCCTCAGTGATTCACGTGTGAATGGACGGAATAGGCTTCTTTCTTCACTGGAGAATGAAGAATCGGTGTCAGCAATGGACATGGTCGGGTAAACCTCTTTTTATACCCTTGTCGGGCTGCCCCCTCCGGACTGTGGGAGAGGGCTTAAGCACGTTAACCCTCTAAGAATAAAGAAAAAGTATTAAAAATTCATTACAAATATTTTGAACTTAATTAGAAGACTAGAAAGTTGATAAAATTTTTTTTTCTTTACTAATAAAATAATTTTCTTTATCATGAGTTTTATTACCTCTCGTCCATCCGGAAAATGGCGTCTGGGACGACGCTCTATTTTGGAATCATTCTTTGAATAAGACAGTTTGAGCACGTTCAAATACTTAACAATCTGAAATAAAAATGATGTGATTAAATCCACAATTCATTATTTAGTTATTTTATGTTTAATTAATTAATATATCTCAGAAGTGCTTGTAGTATAATTAATTAATTAATTTTTTTTTAATAGTTATCAAATGTTGGTTTAAAATATACAGTAAAATAAATGAAGCCTAGAAACAATCAATTCCTTGATTTATAAATATACACCAGTACGAGCTGTACTCACATGTATTAAATATCTACACTATGTATTTAAATACTTGTTATTTTATAAGTATTTATTCTATATTTTTTATAGACCCTTTAAAATCGTTTGTAAGATATGTCATGTAAATTTTTATCGTAGTTTTAAACTATAAAGTTACTTTTAAAAACCAGCACAGTGGGGGAGCGACATATTTGTGACAAGTATAGATCATTAGAATTGATCACCTTGTATAGTATAATATACAATGTGATTTTTTAAGTATAGTATCCTCTAATTATTCATTAAATAATGATTTATTCATAAAAGTATAAAAATTAAATTAAATTTTTTTATATAAACTATAAAAATATCATGTTACTTACAAAAAAAAAAAATGATTTTTAAGGGTATATTTTAGGGGTAACTTTCAAAAGTTAAATGGGAATTTATTATTATTTTTTTAATATCAGATGGAGAATGGCCTAAATAAAATGTTGACAGGTTAATAACCAGTATTGTATTACTACTTTTTGAATTAATATAATTTTTAGTGATAGACATGTGGAGTGCGCTATATATGTGGATTCTTATTTATGTATTATGACAAAAATAGGGTGGCGCTAAATATTGTCCTACTCTTTACTTTTTCTAAATATATTAATGATAGTATTTCAAAATGTAATAACAAAAAACTGATTATGGACCCGACATAATTTTATTCGTACCATCCATCATTTAATAGCAAAAAATAATAATTTGCTCCTATTTAACTTTTGAAAGTTCCTCCTAAAATTTACCATTATGAATTATTTTCATACAATAAACTTGATATTTACGATGGCTTATAAAAATAAACTAAATTTTTATCTTTCTATTTTTATAAAAAAATCATTATTTAACAAAAAGAATAAAATGACTTAAACGAACGAACATTTTTTGAACTTGAATATATCCTTATTATGCGTGGTGCATAAAAACACAATATTGATTTTTTGATGGTGTAACCCTATGACAACGATAATCTGATAAAAAAGGAGCCAATAGAAAACGATATGTGGTAAAAGAACCATTTTAAAGTGAGAAAGTAAAATGTATGAGAAAAGATGTAATAGTAAAGAAATTTAGAATGGTATGGCTCAAGAAAGGCGGTTAAAATGAAACCCTGTAAGGTCCCATCAACACTCAGACATGAAACGCATACGAAATTCTTAACAAATATAAGAAAAACTTGAGAAACATCTAGTTTTACTTTTTATTTATTGGACTATTTAAAAAAATATTCATAACTTGTAGATACTTAAGTGCTAAATTAGTATATCAATATATACCTTATACAGTTTAACAGAACTTGCATGTTTTTATAAACGTATCAGTGTGAAACACAATGACAAAAAAAAACAAAATATTATTTTATATCAATGCTATTTCTCTTATATTTTATCTTGCGATAATGATTTTTTGTTTTATAGCTTCATGTATGATTTGTATTAACTCTCATTAATCAACTAGTTTTTATCTCCTCAACACTTTTTTTCCAAATGTAGCTAACTATTAATTACTAAGTAAAATTTAATCGAATTTTACTTTTTTTCTGATAAAGATGTTTTTGATTAATTTCGGATTGTAGATAATATAAATTATAAACTAGACTTAATATCAATATAAATGTAGTTAAAATGATATATGCACCTAGACGACTACTGTTAGAGCTTAATGTATCAGTGACACGCATTCAGTTTCATCAACTGCTAGTTGGAGTAGAATAACAAAATATGTAGCTTTTATGAATAATCATTTATAATATTTTGAAGCTTATAAAAACGTACACCCTCGTACACATGTATGTTATGTTGGTAAACATAAGTTTTCTATAGCTGTGTTCACAATAACATAAACAGTCGAGTTACAATTTTATAATTGGTGTTTTCTGTATTTAAATATATTTTAATTCCGTAGAGAAATACATTATAATAAAAAAATATGGAAGAGTACTATGTTTTCCATTTCCTTTTGTGATCACGGCTATTTTATCGTTTGATAAAACTAAAAAGGTCTATTTAAGTATCTTTCTACGTGACCTAATAAACTATATAACATTTTGTCATGTATGCATTGCAAAAATTGTATTTTATATTGATATATTCTATTTGAAATAGTTGGTATATTTTTGAATTGATAACTATATTTAATAAAAATTAATAAATAAATAATTTGTGATGAAAATGTTTAAATTAAATAAGAATTGTGCTGATTTTAGTGCAAAAAAGTATATAACGATTATAGGTATAGTTAAAAACCTTATAGCCTCCAGTAACGCAAGTCACGAAACCTACTACGGCCGCATTGCAGCTTCTTTCAACTAAAAATTAACATGCATGATTTGACAAGGTTGTTTGATCTATAGAGTTTAATAAAAAAAAGTACAATCTAAAATGTTCTAAAAATAATTTTAGGCGTATAACAACAAAAATGCTGAAATATTATTGTGAAATTTTTGAAAACTATATAAAGGTATAAGAACTAAAATAAATTTATAAAAAAACAATATTTAATGTTGGTTACCAAATATTACTATGTTAATTGATGTAATAGAATTGATTTATTTACAGCTATATTAAAAAGAAATTTTAATATTTATTAATGTAATAATTTATTATACAAAATTATAAATGTTCAGTTCTCACCTAAAATGTATGTATTTCTACGATTCTTTCTTCCATGTCATTGTTTCTCCTAAAAACAAATAAAAAAAAAAATATAATACCATACTTTTAAGATTTGAATAAGTCATGTTATAAAAATTATTTTTTACTAATTAATTTTATATTTAAAAGATATATTTAGTTAAATCTAATACATATTTGTCAGTTTATGTAAATTAATTATTATGGCTCTTAGGGTAATTAATTACTGGTCAACAAAAAATTTAAAACTTAATTAAAATAGAAGCCTTGGATGTCTGTAAATAATCATTGTTAATGTATAATTGACAGACATTAATGTTGTATATTTTGATACTGAAATTCTATAGTATTGATTTTAATTTGGTGTTAGGTAAATGATGTGTGCAAGAGTGAAAACTGGTATTGAATGACTTCTAGATAGTCTTAATGAACTTGATGTATAATTGCATTTTATCAACATGATTATAGGTTATTCACATAAAAAAATAAGTTTGTATAAAATAGGTATTCTGTAATATTTAGCTAATCGCTTTTTTTAAACCGTATAATCTAGTCACTGATTTTCAGTCAATCAACTTTTAAGCAATAACTTACTAGCTCTTTTACTTTTTATTGGATTTTTTTTCATGTAACATTTTATGATTATTATTACAAAGAAATAGCCAACCGAAACCTTTCAGCTGAAAATTTTTTTGAAATGCCTGTATACACATTAAAGATATTGAAAATATTTATGAAAGTTGTTATTTATAAATGTAATTATTTAATTTTCATTAATAGTATTTATATTATTAATACAATTAGTTATTATGTATTTTTAATAATGAATAATTTTTTTTAACCGTTTGAGAATTATTTATTTGATAATGAAATTAGATTTTATATTCATACAACAGAAACTTGAAGAGTTTGAGATACAGGATCACTCTAAAGTATTAATTAGTGATGCTATAACTTTAAAAGGGTCTATGATAAAACTTAACTAAAACTAGAATTTTTTTTTTGAAATTAATGTAATTTTGAATAAAATACCAAAAAATTAAAAATTTATTAGTAAATGTAAAACTAATTAATACTATTATTTCAATAAGCATTAAATATTATATATAATTTATATTGACAAAAATGATAAAAAAAAAAATTAGTTTATTCCATATAAATAAATATATTTTATAAAAATACTTTTTAGTGTGTTTTTTACTTCAGGACAGTAACCATAATAATCATTAAAAATAATTCTATGTGTCATCAACAAAAACGTTTATTAATTTAAGTACTCAATAGCCTGTCGGTATTTCTGCTAATTTATCATCGTATAAATGATAACACTAAATGCTTATTACATAACACATTATCTAAATCATGGTCACTGATCATCATATCATCCGCACTGTACCTTATACAATTCACTGATTGTTATAAGTGTAGCATATTTCATGTTTATAATTCAAATGCTGAGTCATAAAAAAAGTTATATTGTAAAAATTGTTTTTAATATATCTGAATTATTATATTAATTTGTTGTTTTTCGATTAAAATAAATGTTTTAGTTAGAAATAACTATCTAGTTTGACTTTCTAAAAATAAAATGACAAATAACCAATTAAATATAATTCAATAATAATATGTTCCTAATACAAATGTGTACTAAAATTGCCTATTTGATACCCCGTTAGATAAGATATTTTAAAAAGTGTTTTCATGACATTAGTTTTTAATATTAAAATACTTAAATATGTTTTTAGTATCTTACATAGGATAGTTATTGTGACTGATCAAATTACAGTATTTGTAATGCATAAAAGTTTCAATAACAATAATATCAACAAAAATTTTTGAATAAAAAAAAATTCTGTATTTTTATTGTAAAATAAAAGTTATTTTTTTATTAATATTTAAACCATTATAGATGTATAATTTTGTACATGCTAAATTTCTTATTTATTTTATGCCTTTATTTATTCAAAATAAAATAAAATAGATTATTTGTAAATCGACAATAGAAGGCCTTGAAATACTTAGTATGGTCTTGGTATTGATGTACATTGGCATGATATTTGCTTTTTCGATACTACCATGAAATTTTTATAAAGTAAAATTTATGTTAGGGATACACTAGAACGTGATTATCACTGAACGTGTTTTAAAACATACTTGACCTTTTACCCTCTAAAATTCGACGATGGTTATATATTAAAAATAATATCCTCTATTTAAAAGTGTTAATAACTATGATTTTTGTTATCAAAAGTAATTATTGTTAAAATGTAAAGTCATAAAAATTTTATCAAACCATCTCGTCATTATAATAGTGTAGTTTTGATTTAGAGTGTCTTCATATAATTAAATAGCGTTAAACGTTATACAACAAAAAAATGCTTACAATATATGTGTGCTAACTACACAGTGCTAGTTTGACGTAAATTTGAAATTACTATTGGAACAATAGTGACCATTTTAAAAACTTAAAATAACTAACTATTAAATAATTCAAACGAATCTGCACAATAGAGTAGATTGTAAACAAATAATAATATAAAAAATGCTTTAAAATAACTTGTTTAGTAGATCTTTTGAAGAAGTTATACTATTATAGTGACAATTATCGACGAGATGATCTTAAGTAATATGCCTCACCTGCAGATATAGCGTAGTAATCTGAATTACAATATTGTGAAATCAAATCATATATCAATTAGATTATGAAAGGAGTAATGTTTTAAAGGAAATGTTCTGCAAGAACAGACCTGATAATGTTATCTGAATTTAGAATCTAATCAAATTTGTCTAATTCCATAAACTATTTCTTGTGTTTTTCTTTATTATTGGAGTCTAAGCAGCTAATTAAAAAAATTTATACATATTGAGATTAAAATTTCGATTTTAACGCCCAGTAAATATATTTTGAGAGTTATTTTAGGATCCTAGTCACAAAATCGTATGCAATATAGAAAAGCAAATGGTTGGACTTTCTCGACCAAAAATGGTACTAGTATGTCAAATCAGGTTCGAGTATTTTACCAAACCAATAATTTTATTTATAAGACATGTTTTACATGTCGTATAAACAAAATTATCTGAGAAAAAATGTATTATGATATTTAAAAACTTCGAAATTTTATTTTTCAGTCATGCCTTATATTATTATTTTTTGGTTGGGTTTATTTATACGGCAAGGCAATGTTTTTATTTTATAATTAAATATAATAAATTATTTAAATAAATGTTTTATGTTCTTTAACAAAGTAAATATGGGCTTATAATAGTAAATTGTAACTATTTGCTACTAGTTGTAAAATAAAAATGTGTGGTTGTAAATGAACGACTTCAGTATACAGGTAAACTCTACAGCACCCTTTTCAAAAATGGCAATCCGATTATAAATTCTATTAACCTTTAACAGCAACATAAAAGGGAAAAACGGAAAAGAAACAAATGAGAATCTTGATGGTGGTGAGGTAGGCTTTCATGAAAGGTTATAGAGTGTTTTTATTTGCGTCGAAGACAGTCCTTTCTATTCATCCAATTTTTTTATGGTTTTTGTACATTCTATTCTTATTTTTAAGGTGCATATTGTGTTAAGTACCTATATAGTTATAAATAAATAAATAAAACATATATATATATATATAATCAGACAGACCCGCGTGCACGCACTTGTTCTCAGTGTTCAATAAAAGTGCCAAGGATCAATATTTGTGGTTTATATTATTGTGTGCTTGACTAATTTCAGTTACTCACGAACTTAAGATACACGTCACGCCATTAAAATTGTCTACAGGGAAAATATTAATTTACGCTGAATAATACAATTTATGTACCATAATGACATAAGAGTCAAAGAAAAGAATTGTCGGACACTACCTGGTGTGAACGAAATAATTAAATGACAATTGTTTAAAGTTCATTACAATATAGTTGTTCATAGTTCTCATTTTACTAATGTTATTAAAAACTTTTTTTAGTATTTTATTGTCTATATTTTATATGGTCGATATTTTTATACATCAAAAAATAAAATATTCCTTTTCATGATAATACGATTCTTAACAAATTTATATAAAATTTTCAATAAGTTGTGAATAATGACTCAGTAATATACCGTAAATAAGATTGCATGTTTATGATCCCATATTCAAAAATCTAAAAATTATTTTCATGCAAAAAAACGATTATTACATAGTAAAAGTGTTTATTATTAGAAATTTGAAGAAAATGAATTTATAAAGTCGTATTGACTTTATTTATTAATTTAAATCTTTTTATTACAGTTTTTGAAGTTATATGAATTATCTGAGATATTATACATGGGTAGTTAATATTACACAATTTTTTATTACATTTTTGTATACATATTATTGAATCAAATATCTCAAATTTTTGTTTAGTCTAAAATATTTACAATATTACAACATTAAAACAAATTAATTTTTGAACCATAATAAATTTTAAAGAAAATTTAAGTAATAAATATAATAGATGTAAATATGATTAAAACGCCTAAAGATGCTCTCTATAACATTTTTAATTATAAAATAACAACGGAATTTTCGCTAAATCCTTTTTATATTCATCAATCAAGATAATGGTGTTTTATTTCTAAAAATGTTCAAAATAAAAATACAACAGTAATAATTAAAATGTCAACAATTCGTAAAATTGTTTAATAGCTTTAATCTTAAAGACGTCTTATAATTTAGTTTTAAACTTTTATATATGTATATATATATATATAAAGTAAAAATATAAAATTGTATTTATCCTTCGCCGAGGATAAATATATGAATTCAAAATTTTTCCTTTCTCATTTAATACTTGAATCTAATTTTTTTTTAATTACATAAAGTGTAGTGAATAACTTGACATTTACATTGATTGACATTTATGAATTCTAGTGTTTTACGAGGGGAAGGTATTTTTAAAACGATGTATGTATGACATTTGGATATTAGCCATGGATAATTTGATATGAATTAACTTATAAATTAAGTAATACAAATTTTTATTTAATTTGGTTTAATTAAATCTCTTTTATAAATATATTTAAAT